CGTAGTATATATATATATATATATATATATATATATATACATGTACATTTTCTTCTTTTCTTAACATGTGTGTCTTATGACTTCAGGCCATGTCCTTGACTATTTTCATTCTTTTCTATTATTATTATTTTCTCTTCTAAATTTTAAGGTACTCAACGTGTTTTGTTTCTTGCTTTCTTTTTTTCCTTTTCTGCTTCAGTTTCATGTTCGCAAGGTCATGCATTCAACCTATGCTGTTATTCCTCGTATCTCCCTCTCTCCCTCTGTCTGTGGGAGAGTCTGTTGTTGTCGCTGCTGCTGCTGCTGATGTCGGTGTCGATGCTCGCTTGCGTGTCGAACTCTTTCTTCTTCTTTCTTATTACATTCACACGCTGTGTGCGTGTGTGTGTGTATGTGCTTCAGTGTTCCACATTCAAAAGCTCCTTGATAGCACGTCTTTTTACACACACTGGAAAAGGAAAGAAGACGATAAGAAGAGGTGCCAATGTCTCCACTTCCGTAGTAAGGGAGTAGGGGAAAAGGACTCTGATGCTTCCATTCTCCCCCGCGCAGAGTGGATTGCGCGCACAATCGTTTTTGAAGTAAGCGCAATCAGTCTATCGGCATCGCGTGTTTTACAGACTGCGTTCACCTTCCCATTTTATGAAGCCGCTGACGTCGAAGTCAATCGCGATGTAGTCGGCGCGAGCGGGGGAAAAACAAAATGGAGGAGAAAAATAGCTTTAGAAGAAACCGTAAAACTGTTGTCAGCAAGTGCATATATGGATTTCTCTCACACATCGTGATATATCTTTCACGCCAATCATAATTACCTCTTTCTTTTTGTGGACTTCAGTGTTTTTTTTTGTTTTCTTTTTTTATTAGAACCGCTGCACTTCTTCGTTGTCATATCGTCCGCATCGGTCGCGTCGAACTTTGTGGGGATTAGAATATGTGTGTAGATGAATAGGAGGTGTGCACATGGGGGAAAGGGAAAATATGTTTCAGCGTTTGTTCGCCTGTTCACGACATACGTCGCTTTTTCTTCTCTTCTACATTTTTGTTTTATTCTCTCTCTCTCTCTCTCTCTCATTCCCTTTAGCACTGGGAATCGTCCAAAAAGCGCTCAATCACCTACCGGAGATGTGCTTGGTGCACTTCACGCATCTACATCGTTGCAGACAAGAGCCTCGCCTGTTCTTGTGTGTGTGTTTTGAATAAGTTTTGTTCTCTTCTACTTTTCCTCTTGTTTTTTTCATTTTCGATTCTTTTGTTAATGTCTGTTTTATGTTCATCCCTTTGCACCTCTCCTTTTCTTTTCTTCTTCTCCTCGTAGACCTTTCGGTTGATAAGGTCTCACGCTTCACGGATGTTGCGTGTTTTGCTTGGTGGTGGTGGTGGTGGTTACTCTCTTTTGCTTTCGTTCTCCCTTCACTTTTACTCCCTCTGTCGATGTTCATAGTCCGATGTTCTAATAATAGACTTTCTTGTTTTCTCTTTCCCCAATTCTCTTTATATCTTTTATCTTTCTTTTTCAAACTGTTTCCAGCTTTTTTTTATTACTTACTTACTTCACGTCGAGAGTGTCCTTGACACACACGCATTAGCTTCCTTTTCTTTCGAGGTATTTTGTACTGTTGTAGGCAATGGTCGAACTGTGCGAGCTGCGGCCGCAGCTGCAAAACAACGAGAAAAACAAGCTGCTAAGGACAGCCTTTTGCAACGATGAGAAATACGCGATGTCTTCAAGAAGGCAGAAACTCGCTTGGCGTGTTACGGTACCACCCGGTGACAACGTACTACGTTGGCGTTGTGTGGATGGGCGTATGCGTGTGTGCGTGTGTGTGTGTGACAGATGACAAAGGCGGAAGGAACAACACCAATAGTCTCCTCTCCCATCAAGCATGTCACAGACCTCACTGATTGACGAAGACATTTAAAAAGAAACTGCTTTCATCGTGGAATAGAATTCACAGGTCTGTGCTCTCCCTCTCGCATCGTGTTGTTTTTGTTTTCTGATGATGTCGCAGCCGGCCTTTTTTTTCTTTTCTCATCTTTAACGTCTCACGCCCTCTCTTCCCCTCCGCCCTTCTCGCCCTTTTTCTCTTGTGTGCCTCATTCACATGCGCTTCTTCTTTTCATAGTGTTGCATTAAATAACATATATATTGAAGAGAAACAAAACAAGGAGGCTAATCAGTTCCACCTGCCCCACACAAGCGTCCAGCCTTCAGCTCCGTAGCGTCCCTCCTCTCTCCCTCTTCTCTACCGAAATGGTCCGCCGAGTAGAACGGCATTCCTGTAAGATTTGTATCATTCCGAATTAACTTCATTTGTGCAGGCAATCTCGTGTAATTTGTTTAGAAGTTTGTTCTTGTTTTGTGTAGATGCTGTTTTCTAGATCTTTCTCGTTGTTCTTTGTTTTTTCTTTCCGAGTTCAAATCGCCGTGTTGTTGTGTTAGCACCTCAACCACACCCAACCACACAGTTATACGGCCTTTTGCCTTTTCTCGCTGTTGAGCCCTTCACCGCCGCGTTGTAGTTTCTTTCCTGTGTGTTGTTGTGCTTGTAGAAAGAGCGCTCTCTATCTAGATCTTCTCCCATTGTAGGTGCGCTGTTCTGGGCCACGATGTTGCGTCGCTGCTTCGCTGCCTTCGCGGCGACGAGGATCCGCCGGATCGCGCCACCCCCCAGTCTTCATAGGAAAGCTGTCACCGCCGTCGCCCGTAGCCGCAGCAAACCGCCGCCGCCGAAGAAGAAGTCGAAGACGACGACGCGGCTGACCGGTTCAAAGCGACGCCGACGCGGAAGTCCTCGCCGTCCCGCTGCCGCCTCCTCACAGGCCATCGCAGACCCGGAAGGGGAGAAGGACAAGGATGTCTCGCTAAAGAGTATTTCAGTATCGTTTGTCGTGCCGCAGGAGCCGCCGGTGCGCAGCCGCTACGTGCATCCGACCGACTTCCTCGGCTCTACCGACGCGCTGATGCTGACGCCTGAGGAGAAGGCGGAGGCCGCGGAAGCCAAAGCCGGAGCCTCGGCTATGGCCACAGCAGCAGCAGCAGCAGCGGAAGCAGTGGAAGCAGCGAAGGCGGACCCAGGCACGTCATTGGTAAGGTCAGCTACACCAAAAAAAGCCGTCGCATCCGCCACGACATCAACAAAGAAGCCTTCCCGGAAAACTGCAGCCGCAACTGCCTCACGAAGTAAGAACAAGAGGAAGCCGCATCCGAAGTCCGCTGCGCAGAAGAAGAAGAACGGGGTGCCGAGGCAGGCAACGGCGCAATCATCTCGGCGGACCTGGCGCCGAGCCCCGAAGTCGAGCCCCGCTTTATCGGCTCAATGGCACCACACGGTTCGAAGAGTTAGGCCGTTGTCGGGCGGTAGAAAGCGATGGGTTGTAGGACGCACCGCAGCCGCCAAAATCCACGGCGCAGCAGCAGCAACTCGCCGCAAGGTGAAGAGAGGGAAGCGGGCTGTTGTGAAGAGTCGTGTACGACCCTCTGCTGCGGCAGCAAGCAGGCGACCCGCCGCCCGTACGAGGGGGGTGCAACAGTCTAAGAAACCAACAAGGCGCATCGTGGCGAAGTCGCTGAAGAAGAAGAATGGAAAGGGAAAGAAGTGAAGCGCATCTCACGCAGGTCAAGATAATGATTGACTTTGTTTTACATAGAGTGTGCTTCACTCTTCTTGTCTCCTTTTCCCTCCCTCTGTTTCTCTCTCTCTCTCTGTCTGTCTGTCTTCCGCCATCGCCTTCGCGCAATCGACCCGGTGAGCAGTGCAGTCCTGTGCCACCAACATCCCGAACTTCCTTCTTGTTCACTTTAGCTTTGTTTGGATGTAACAGCTTTTTTTTGGGGGGGTGTTCTTAGATTTAATAATAGAAGTGGGTGCCGCCAAAGCAAGGGGAGGGGAGAAATACGAACCCAAAAGTGGGAAGAATTCATCGCTATGAAAAGTCCGGCAACGACCGTTTTTGTTGATTTCTTGTTTTTTTCCAACAAGAGAGTTTCCCTATATTACTTTTACAAATACATAGCGAAGTCGGCTTCTCTCCCCCGCATCGCTGTAAAGGTACGGAAGCGCCGGCTGAAGCCTGGCTTTGATGCTGTCGGTGACCTCCACCAATCGCTATGAATGCACAGTCAAACTTCTCACGCTCTCTCTCTCTCTCACTCCCTCTCTCGCGTACACCACGTCGTGGCATACGCGGATGCCTCCATTTTACTACGCGGTGTACTCTATCGTGTTTCCTCTTCTCTATGTCTGCGGCATCACGAAACCCACGTGGGGCACCGTCGCATGTTCTTCTTTGAAAACGTTTCTTTTTATCATTCAGTACAACGTTTATGGTCGGCTCAGCGACAGCACAAGCAGCGAACCACAACAGGCATTTGAAACTATTTTTTCTTTCTTGAGAAATACAACTGTTCCTTTGCTCATCAGCTCCCATCTAAACATATTCGCTCTGCCGTTGGTCGTTCAAATTCGCCGTACGTGCCGCGCCCACTTCAGCGCTCCAGCTCCTCTCTTTCCTCGTACCGTCTCTTTCGTGTGTGTGGGTGTGTGCGGGTAAGCTTTCTTGCTCCACATTATGCTGCTGCGGAATTGAGCAGTCACACCTTCTGCTGTTATTGCCGTTGTCTGGATTCTTGTATCGGTTTTTCTTTTTGTTTTCGTTTTCCGAACTTGGTACTCTAGTGGGGTCTTTGCTAGCTTACCACTTGAATAAGACATGTCCGCTCCACTCCGCAAAGGCATACGACGGGCCTCTGGCCGCGACTCCACCCTCGCGCACGCGGAAGGCGAGGCTGTCCCGGAATCTGCGGTTTTAGGGTGCTCCCCTACGGCTCCGACCTCCGCGACCACCGCCGCCACCACCACCACCACGGCGGATGCGTTCATAAGTCCGACGTCGCAGGCGTCCCCCACCTCATCATCCGCGCCCAAGTCAAGCGCAAAGGGCACCGCGAATGACGGTGGAGCCGGAGGGGACGGTGGGGCTGGGGCTGGGCTACGCAAAGGCAACCTTCCCACCCTCGGCCGCAGTCCGAACACGCGCCTACGTCAGCCCTACGGTCTTTCACCGCTGCACAGCAGCGCCGCACAGAGCCCCGTCCTGGCGCAGGTCGCCTCTCCCTTTTTCGCCCCGCAGCAGCCTCGCGCCGCAGCAGATCGGGCGAGTGGGGCTGCGTCGCCCACCGTCTCTCCCTCGTCTGCAGTCCCCATCGCCAGCACGTTGCCGAATAACATGCCCCTCGCCGGCCTCTCGAACCACCTCCGGTTAAGTGAAGGGCTGAGCTGTCTGGACTACCACGCAGGCTTTCGTGCCCTTGCCATCGGCAGCACGCGTCAGATTCACGTGGTGGAGGTGATACCGATGGTGGGCCACGACGTGGCAGCCGCGGCGCGTTACAAGCGCACGCAGCAGCAACAGCAGAAGACGGCGGCAGCGGCAGCGGATTCCTCGTTCCCTCCTCTTCAGTGTCCCCTCGATGGTGAGCAGCCGCAGCACACCTCGCCTGCTGCATCGCCCGCCCCCGTCATGGGTACCGCCCCATTTCTTATGCGCAACACCGGCGTCTTCGGCGGTCTTATTAAGGTGGAAAGCGTCGCCTGGTACCCCAGCACGGAGGAGGCCTCCCTCGCCTTCATTCAACCCGCCCGCACCGTCACCATATTTCTCGATGCGCTGCAGTTCAAGGCGGATGGCACCTACCTGCCGCAGCAGTGGACGCGATCGCAGTACAAAGGGAAGACGCTGAACTCGACGATGGCGGCCGGTGGGGGCTCGACGGCGATGGCGGTGGTGGCGAACTTAGACGGGGGGCTGGCGGGCATGACGCCTGCCACCTCGACGGCAAGCCTGAGCGATCGGTCTGGTATGTACACGCCGGTGTCCACCTCTCTCGCAGGGGGCGCGTCCTTCAGTGCGGCGTCGGCCTCGCATGGTGGCACGCCGCACGAGATTAGTCTCCCTACACCGAATAGCGGCGGCATCCAGTCCGGGCCTGCTCCGACAATGAGCAGCCTTCCTTGCGTCTATCGCGAACTCAAAGGACCTGCTGCGAAGGAGTTAATAGAGTTGAATATTGATATTACGTACATGCGGGTAGAGAAGATCGTGTGGGACCCGCATCAGCCCTACACCCTAGCCCTCAGCTCGCCCACCACCCACTTCGAGCTGTGGCAGGTGCCGACGGAAGGGATGTGCGTCTACGCCCCGCAGCTCGTCCTGCGGCCGCCCGCACACAACACCCGCTCGGTGGTGCGTGATCTCGTCTTCTCGCCGTCGAACCCGCACGTCATCATCGTCGTGACGGAGTCCGGCAACACAGGCCAAGTGCTGCTGTACGACCGCCGTCAAGTGGAGGCGATGCGTGTCTTCGACATGAGCGGGCCTGGGCTCTCCGCCGCCTTCCACCCCCTCTTCTCCGATCTCTTAGCGGTCTCGTTTCGCAAGGAGAAAACGAAGCCCGACACACGTATTTCGTTTCTGCGAGTTGTGTCCGGCGACACGGCGGGTGCGCTGCCCGGCGTCGACCCGCCCAGCACCGGCCCCGACGGTGTCCTTTCTGTGTCAGCTTCGGTGGGCGGCGCGGGAGTGCGCAGGTCACCCATGCTCATGACCACCGCCGCGTTGACTGCTGCTACGCTGGACGAAAGCACCAACAGTGGTGGTGGCGCTAGTGGTTCCCCGGCGAGTGCGTGCCCCTTCCTCGCGGAGCAGAGCTACCTGCCACCCATTGACAACTATGCCTGTGTCAGTCGCATGCGCTGGCGGCCGCCGTCGCTGGGCCGGCTCACGGAGCCGAAGCGACACCACTACATGGCCTTCCGACCTTCCGCCGAGGAGCTCTGGGCGGCGCAGCACTTCTCTCCCTCCTCGAGATCCATGGAGAACGGGGAGCAGCAGGAGGCAAAAGACGACGAAGAGGAGGGGGGTGAGGATGATTGCACGAACTGGGTGGACCTCCTCCACTCCCAGCTGTGGTTCGCCACGGCAGCCATGACGACGGACTCCGATCTGAGTGTGTGGGACGCCGCGAACGGCTTCTTCCCGGTGTGCGCCGTCAAGTACCTTGGAGCGCGCGTGGTCGGCAGCACCAGCAACGAGGCGAACGACTTCATCTGGGTAAACGAGCTCACCTTGGTGTCCATCTTCAAGAGCGGCGAGGTGATCTGCACGAGCTTCCTGAACAGCCTTATGGAGGGGATGTTGGCGGCTGGAGAGGCTTACGAGCGCTCATTGCGGCCGCGCCGAAAGTCCTCGCAGCGCCCACACCGATCCCGCTCGTCAGGACCACGGAGACGACGCACGCAGCAGTGCGAGAGCAAAGCACGCGATGACTACGCGGAGCAGCACCGCAAGACACGCGCGGAAGAAAAGGACTGCCTGGCGATGCTGCCCGCCTACCAGCGCGACCCATTCGCGGATATGTTTGCCACCTACATTGTGCTGCCCACCTCTTCGATCGTGTCAGATCTCTTCGGACACAGCTTCACAGTTCGCAACTCCAACGCGACCCTCCGTCGTCAATATAACGCAATGATGCGCCGCGAGTTTGGTCAGCTGCTGCGTCGTCTGGCGATTCAGGTTTCACGAGAAGCGGTGCTGCGCCAGCTTTGGTCAGAGATGCGCTATCAACTTCCCGCGGGTGGCGCGAGTAGCCCGGGTATTGTCAGTGGACTCGCGGCCCTGCACGATATGCGGGCGCGCCGTCCACGCTCGCCTTTTACGCAGACGAGTGGCTTTCACGGCTGCGGGGGCTCCTCGCAGGCCTCCGACTCGACCCCGCCCAGTCTGCGACGCAGCATGTTGAGACACCGCCTCTCCGCCGCCTCCTCCGTCTCCTCCTTCGGCGCCCGACTTGGGCTGCAGCCGTACGTGGGGATTGGGGGCGCCTTACCGAACTCCATGACGACTGCAGCCCACGGCACGGGTGTGTCCGCGCACTCCCCTCTCTTCCCCCCTCCCCCTCCCCCTTCCCTCCCTCCACCTGCGCAGGGGTGGAGCCTCGATGACGTGAACGATGCGCTGCTGCTGCAGGCAAGTCACCATCACGGCTCGTACGCCGGCCCCACCGGTGCGTTCGATGACGGCGACGAGGGAGCCCACGGCCAGGGGTCCGGTTGTGTTGGTGGAGGTCGCGATGACGGTGTCATCTCAGGCGGTGAGGAAAGAGAGCGCAGCGAGTACGATGCAGACGTCGTGGAGGCAGCAGCGAGTCCGTTACGCGCGGGCAGCCGGTCAACCGCCGGTGGTGGTCGTGGTCGTGGTGCCACGGGGTGGATCGCCCGCATTTTGGGTTTCGCGCGTCATGAACGTGTGCATCAGTACCACGTCTCGGTACAGGAGTCGTGTGCAGCGTCCATCGCACACACAGCAGCTCCCCACCCTGCCGAGGCAGTCGACGTGCATGCGAATGATGCGGCGACGACGTTCGCAGGAGACAGCGTGGACGAGGAGGGTGCCGGCAGCAGTAACGTGGAAATCGCCACGCATTCCCCACCCGCCGCGGCACCCCCGGCACGTCGCCGACAGGTGCCCGCCCCTGCTGTCGTTGCTTCCACCGCGTTTGCGGGGCTCCGTGGACGGCCCACCTCACCGATCAGCGTCACTCCGGTTGAACACAGTGGGAGCAGCGTTGGCAGTCCGCAGCAGCCCGGCGCGGCAGACGCCGGCTCGCCGTTGCAGATCGCGGATATAGGTCGCAATGAGGAAGGATCACCATCTGCGCTTTCGTCGCGCGCAAAGCCGTCAGCTGGTGATTTCTACCAGCCGCGTGCCGCCAGCACGGGACCCCGCCCAAGCACGAGTGCGAGCTCCTCGTCTCCGCTGTTCAGTTCGCCTGTGGGCGACGTCGTGACCGCCTATCACGCGGCTGCGCAGGGCAGGGTGTTGTACAACGCAGCGGGCAGCAACGTCAGTCAGAGCAGCGCCGCCGTGGCCGTACCCCCGCCTCCGCCCACGTCCGTGCTGGGGCCTGGCGGTCTCAAAAGCCGCCGTTCCGGCGTCATCTTTGCACAGGTGTTTCCGCTGCTGAAGGAGTACGTGGACGTCGACGGCACCCGCAACACACGAAGGGGGCCGCCGCATCGCTCGTCTTCCGCTCCCCCGCAGGGCAGCAACACGCGGCGAAGGAAGGAAAGGCAAGCCACCATCCGCATGGCCGAGGGTTGGGGCCGCAAGCCGGCGCTCCTTCTCTCGCCGCTTCTACAGCCGTCTAGCGACGTCACGCACAGCGCGACGCCCAGCACTGCTACTACGTCGCCGCTGCAGCTGCCGTTGAGCGTGCTGGAGTGTGGCGTGCCGGTGACGGCGGCGGACGTGAAGGCTGTGTCTGCGCGAACCCCTCCCAGTACGTCAGCAGCAATCCACCCAGCACCTGCGCCAACGACGCAGCTCATCACCGCCCGCACCTACCTCGATCGCCAGCGGGACGTCGCAGCGGTGGTGGAGAGCTTCGTGCTGAGCGACGTGGTGTGCGGGTGGTCCTACGCGGAGCGGCCGCGGGAGGAGCTCGCGTTTGTGTGCTTTGCGCTCGAGTGGGACATGGGCTACGAGCTGGCCTTGACGATGAAGGCGCTGCGGCACGACCGGGCCGACGCGGAGGCGGCAGCGGCGGAGGAGGAAAATGCCCTCGCTGCCGCCGCTGCATACGTGGAAGAGACGGGAAGGCAGCAGGTAGGCAGTGATAGCGGCGGGGTAGAGAGTGCGCTGCGCCGCATGGACAGCACAGGTGGCAACGGTCGTGTACAGCAGCAGCAGGAGCAGCAGCGACGGCCGCGCCACAGCCGCCGCGACCCGCACTCGCAAGAGAAGTACGTCCCGTGTGCTGTCAACGCACATGCACTTCCTACGACAAAGCCGCGTAGTCACTCTGAAGGCGCGCGGGGTAGGACCCAGCCAACCAGCAGCGGCAGCGGCAGTGGCAACGCAGATGGAAAGGGACGTGTTCAGCCGCTATTGGACTGGGGAAGGGGCGTCCCCGCGCCGTCGCACCAAGATGTCGATGACAAGGTGGCGGCGATGATGGAGGAGAACGCACGCATTTGCGAACGTGTTGTGCGGCAGCAGCGGCGTGGCGGCAAAGACCGCTCGACAACGAGCACCCCTGCAGCCGACCAAGCAAAAAACTCAGAAAATGTCAACGATGCGGCAGCGGCGGACGTGGATGGCAATGCAGGGACGACGACGGTGACAGGGCGTGGCCAGCACAACGGCAGCGGCAGCGCCGACGGCGGCGAGGCGCGCACTCCCTTCACGAACGGCGAAGTGGAAACGTGGAACACGGCCGACCCGCGTGCGCAGTGGTGGCGGGCCGCCGCCCACGCCTGGCGCTCGCACCACATCGCCTTCATTGTGACTATCACAACGCAGCAGCTCGAGTACGCCGCGCTCATGGGCGACGTGCAGTACTGCTTAGTGTTGTACATTCTCTTTTGCGTGTGGTGGCGTCTGCACAGTGAGGTGGCGGAGGCAGCGTACAAGGCGGTGTTGCTGTCCTTCCACAAGGCGAGGCGTCCCTTTGGGTACGACAAGAGGAGCAAGAGTGATGCGTATGGGCCACCCTCAGCCCGTCTGCGCGCGGATGTGTTGGAGGGTGATGGTGGTGGTGGCAGGGTGAGTTCTCGCGGGAGTTGGACAGGCGACGACGGCGATGAAAAGGGTGAACAGCAGAAGCAGCCACAGCACTACCCACCGCCGTCTGCGTCACACCCGGCAAAGGGAAAGGAGGCGTCCTCTGCGGGCAATCGACGCGGAGGAATGTTACGTGTGTCGACCATGACCTCCGTTGACGACAACCGCCACGCCGAGACTCCTGGTTTACGAGCCCCTGACCTGGACTACCGTCTTTCCGCGTATGACCCGGCAGACACGTCGGGGAGTGAGCCGGAGAATGGAATGGAGCGGCGAGGGTCGTGTCGGCGGAAGGGCGATCACGAAAAGCGGAACTCACTCATCTCTTCAGAGAGGTTAGAGCAGCTCCGTCAGCTCTCTCTCTTCTTCCAGCGCTGTCCGTTGGTGCCGATGCTGCCGGACACGCCTCAGTCCCGCTCCGCCAGCACTACCGTCACCACCACCACGACGAACCCGTCTGCGCCGTCGCCAAGTCACGGTGGTGGTGGGGAGATGAAGGAGAGAGGGTCCAGCGGCGGTCTTCTGAGCGCCGGGTACTTGCGCACCTCCGCCTTGAACCAGAGTCTTCCGCCACGCAGCCACAACGGCAGCTCGCGGCGACTCAACGATACCCCGGCGACGCCCGCGATGGCGGACAGCGTGCGGGACCGCGGCAGCACGCGCGCCAGTACGGTCAACATCGGTGTGTTGGCGGGAAGTTACCGCTCCTCGATGACGTCCCCCGCCTCACCGGCGCTGCGCGCAGACGTGAAGAACGGAACGATGACAGATGAAAAGCAAGCCAAGTCGACAGCGTTAGCGCGGTCCGACGAAAGCCGTGTGGCGCTCTTCAACGTGGAAGGCTTACTCGGCGTGCGGCTCTACGCGCGGTCGGCAGCAGATGCGTGCTCGCCCGCCGACTACTGTGCGCCGGCGGAGTGGAAGCTTCGGGCGCTGCAGTGGCTGGAGGCGTACACGGCGGACCTCTACGCCCGCCAGCTCTACGTCCCGCTCAACGAGCTTCTCTTGGTGATGCCGGAGATCTTTCGCGAGCCGACGAACCCGGTGCAGCCGCGGGCAGCCGATATCGCATATGAAAAGCAGATGACCTACGTGTACTGTGGCAACTGCGCCAAGGCGGAGCTGTGGAGCTGCACGCAACCGGAGACGGTGCCGGCGGCGGTGCGGCTGTACGAGCGGGTGCTGCGGCGTGCCCCGCACAGCAGCAGCAGCGAGGCGGAGGACGAAGAGGGGGACAGCAGCAGTAACGACGAGGCCGGTGCTGGCAGGGCAGACAACACAGGAGAAAGTCCGCGTCGCAGGAAGCAGCACAGACGACGTCGTCGCCGCCGCATCACGCGCCTCCCGGCAGACGAGAGCGATGCCGCGTCGTCGAGCGTCTTCACTCCCTCCGTGGAGTCGCCGACGGCGTCGGAGTCGGAGTCGGACGAAGTCGGTGCGGATCGGCCCTTTTCAACGCAGGAGAGGGACCACCGTGAATCTTCCATGAACACGGATGTCAGCCTGTCCTCGGAGCACAGCACGCACGACGGCGCCGGCTCAGCAGCGGGTTTGCTCGATCCGACGACAGCTGCCGCCACTGCTGCGGCCCCGCTGGACAACGGGAGCAGTCGCGCGAGTACAGCAGGTGAGTCGGGGGGCAGCGTTCAGCAAATGCAGCTTTCGCCCCCCATCCCGTCGCAGCCATCCCGGCCGCGTCATCGCACGTCGCATGCGCACACACGTCACAACCACAACAACAGACACAGCAGTCTCGAGGAGAAACAGCTGGCCGACGAGCCTGAAGAGGACGACCGGCACGAGGACGCAGCGGACGAAGGGGCAGCGACGCACGGGCACCCCCACCATCACACGGCGGTGGAGTTTGGTCGGGCCGCCCCGACGGCGCACAACGCGACCTGCCGCCGCTGCCACAACCCCATCGCGATGACGTGCGTGATTTGTGAGGAGGTGGTGGAGGGCATCTTTATGTGGCTGCGCTCGTGCGGGCACGGCGGCCACGTGCACCACATCGAAGAGTGGCTGCAGTACTCGCAGGAGTGTCCGAGGTGCGGGACGCCCATCACCACCACGTGGAAAGGCAGCTAAGGCACGGGGAATGCGTTAACACCTGCCAGCTGCGAAAACTCGATGCTGTTGCGTCTGCGGGTGCCGCTGCTCAGGTAGTGAATATCCCTGCTGTCTTAGCTGCCTATTTGATTTGATGTCCGGCGTGCGTAGGAGCGTATGCGCCACATTGCAGAGCGGATAGGTGACAATGAAAGAAAGAGTGAGAGATGATCTCTCTCTCTCTCTCTCCTGGGGACTGCTCTCTGCCTGAACGACATCGGCGGTCTGACTGGGAAGAGAGGATCAAAGCGAAAAGGAAAATAGAAGGAAAGAACGCCACGGTTCATCGCTTCGTCTCGGGAAATGCCGATGCAACGGAAATGGTCTCCTTCTTTTTGTTTTCTGTTCTCCGTCGCGACGAACTTGCCGATTGAAGAAGCGTTCAAAGATGCCTCTACGGTGCATTACAGCGCCGTGTCACACTTCTCACCTCTCATCATTTAATGGTACCTCCTCATACAACTCTCTTCTTTCGCGTGGGTAAATTAATTTGTCGGATATATATATTTTTGCGGTGGATCTGTCGGCATGTACTATCAAAGCGGATAATTTGGTCCAGCACTGACGCGACGCAGCTGAGCCGTGCGTGTGTCCAGCGCTCCTTTAATTACTATTGTTATTATTATTATTATTATCTGCCACTGCTGATCTTCTCGTTTAAGAAAGTGTACATTTAATCTCTTTTATGTTTTACCTTGTTGAAACACGGCCCTTTTCTTTTGAGTGGCTTTTGGAATCGCTTATTGCACAGCAGAGGAGATAATTTGCCTGTTCCGTTTGGCGCCGTTTAATCACCCACACATACACCACTATAGAGCACTCACCACATCATACACCTCGTCTGCACCTTCCTGCACCAGGTCAATTGCTTGCGATTGTTTGTATTCTTTTGTGTTTTTACTGTCTTTTCCAAACTCTTTTACGGCGTTAACATGGTCGGACGTCCTGCCAAATCGCGGCAGACGTCTACGCACGCCACACCTTCTCCAAAAGCATCTGTAGTCGCGAAGAAAGGCCGCCCGCCTTGTCGCGCACCGGCAAGCGCTTCGCGTCGAGGCAGCATTCACGTGGAGGTCATCCACGATGAGGAGGCAGAAAGCATTCACAGTGACGGGGACAGCCAAAGCAGCAGCAGCAATAGCAGCGTGCGCGACCACAGCGTGGACTTCGTTGAGGAGCACAAAGATGACACCGCCACCTCACAAGTCACTTCATCTGCTTCTCCTCAAGCACCACCAGTTATAGTCGTCGATCAAAGTACGGTGAAGCGTGCTGCGCCGACCTCACGGCGCTCTCCACCATCTCCGACGGTGCACACATCTAGTGGAGATCATCAACATTTTGCGTCTTTCACCTGTGTGTCAGACGGCGAGGAGGATGCAGAGGCACAACATCGAAGTGCCGTTCAACTAAGCCCGCCAAAGGCCGTTGCGTCGTACATATCCGCCGACGATGACGAAGATGAGGAAGATGGTGATATCAACGTCAGCGATATACAGCAGCGGCCAACATCTTGCACGATGTTGAGCAGCGCAGCGCAACGCATTCCCCCTCGTGCGAGCTCGTCATCATCATCCCCTGCCGCGGCACCCCTATTGGGTGTTTCACGGCTCACGGACTACTTCACCTACGGCTTTCAAGCAGCGATGACGCACTATGCAGATCACTTCTGTGAAGAAGAAGTAGATGAGGAGGAAGGCATTCGCCAAGCTGCAGAGGCCGTTAGGGCTGGGGCGCGTTATCGAAACAACTTTCTCACTGAACAAGAACGCTGCTTCAAACGAAAAGGAGCAAACCTCTCCAGTCTATCGAGTAGTACGGCAACCTACGACAGCGACGCCGAAGCTTTGCCTCCTTCGAAGCAGCTTCTAGAAGAAAAGCAGGAGGAGCAGCATTTCCTGGAGCCGCAGCAAACCTCCCTTTACCGTGTCCCACCATCTTCTTCGATCTCACACTCCGTCACTGCAGGCTCGTGGTCTGATGCAGCTCCACGCACGACAACAACACACGCGCCAGCAGCATCATCATCCACCACCCGGCATCCTCTCAAGCCCTCTGCCAACCGTGCGCCTGCTTCGCGAGATGCCGACTGGAGGTCTGGCCATGCGCAGGCCTGCTTTCGCGAGGCTCTACGCCGCGCCTACGCGTGCGAGGACACGGTGCGGGAGTGGAGGCGGGAGGAGGTAAATCGTCAACAGGAGCAATTGATTCGTTCGCTGATGCTGGACAGCGGCGGTGGTGGTGGTGGTGCGACATCTCTGAACGCAGCGGGCAACAATCTCATCGAGGGAGAAGCACGAACAGGGCAGGCGGCTCGTGGACGTCCTCGTCTTGCATTTCAAGGCTCGAAGCAGCAGCAGCAGCGGACAGCCGACAACGCCGGACTGTCTTCGACACTCTCCGTCATTGCCGAGTACGCGCAGGCAACTGAGGAAGCACCCGGCACAGTACGGGCGCCGGCGTCTACGTTGAACGGCTCTGACTATCTTCAATACGCATCGAATGCACGTGCGAGACACGCCGTACAGAGCGAACAGCAGCGAAGCATGGCGGATCTGTTGTACGCCGCGGACGACGACGACGACGCAGAAACCGAAAAGCCGGCTGCTCGCGCTGCGGCATCAACGGCGTTGATGGGAACTACTGCTGCTGCTCCGACCGCCGTCGTCACGACCACCACCACCACAGCCGCGACTCTTGCTGACACCTCGTCCCGGCACCGTCTGCAGGTGCTGGGCCCGACACAGCTGTACAAGCTCCGCCGCACGCCAAACGTGCTGGTGGACACCGTGTTAAAGCACCACCGCGAAGCGCAGCGGAAGCAGCGGGCGGCGCAGCACGCCGAGGACCAGGCCGTGCGCGTTCGTCGTCTGTACGAGCTGCCTGTTCTGACGGAGGACATCGTACGCTACGCGGCGCTCTTACTGTGCCTCAAACGGTCGCACAAGAAGTGTACGAGTACCGCTGGGGCAGACCCCGCCAACTTCATCGGCGGGGGGAGAAGCGAGCACGATACCTCTCCACCGTCTGCCGGGGAGGCGAAGCTGATGTCCACCCCACACGCAGCGACGTCGCCTACAATAAGCACGACAAATGCTGGTACTACTACTACTGCTGCTGTAATGACGTCGTCGTCGTTTCCCAGTACTAGCGACGCAGCCGACAACGTCCCGCCGTATGGTGAGGAAGGGTCGCTGCTCTACATGCGATACCCCGCCCCGCTGCTGCGCACCACCTCGTTCGCCGTGGAGACGGTGCGGCTGCTGAAGTGGCTGCGGACATGGCGGAACAGCGGGTCTGCCGCGGCGGGCACTTCGCCCTCTCCGCCCGCACCGCTGTCGACGCCGTCCTCTGGCGGGAGCCAGCGGAAGCGTGTGAAAACGGAGGTTTCTACGGAGAGTCGTCAGCGAAACGTAAATGTCACAGCTGTGGAGGAGCTAGGCCAGCCAGCGGCGTCGTTGAGTGCTCTTGGTCTTGTGCCCGCCAAAGTGGAAGCCCGACCAGTGCAGCGGTCAACGGTTGAAGAGGCACACAAGCAGCTCCAGCACGCACAGCAGCTGCGTGAGACACAGGCGAGGCAGGAAAAGCGCTCGGCTTTCCTCAAATTTTTTGGTCCCGCTGTCGCCCCTTCAACCGCAAATGGAGAACATGAACCAGTTGAGGTCGATCCCGTAGAAAGCGAAGATGAGACCCTCATTGCTAACGTGAAGGCTCTCGACTCCTTGTCGACTTCTTCCTCCATCGCAAAGACGGAGGCTTCGTCGTCATCCACCACCCAGCAACGCACATGTGTAGAGGAGGAAGATGAGGAAACACATATAACGCAGCAACCTCTGCCCCGTGCACCGGCGTCTCCTCTTGCGATCAGCAACGGCATCGTGCAGAGTCCCGTCGTGCCACCGCCGCCGCCGCTGCAGATGAATCCGGGGGTATACGCCTACCAACTGTACTGTCACGCCTGGAAGCACGCCGTGAAGACCGGCATCACCCCTCTCGCCACCGCCGCCCAGGTCTTCGTCGGATCGCGTGAATGCACTCTAGACGGCGTGTCCCCGCGAGTGGTTGGCCGTAGTGCTGCGGATCGACCGAGGCACACGAATGAAGAAGACTGCACACTTGCAGACAGCACGGCAGGAACAAGCCGTGGTGTGTCCCGCGCCTGTAAAGCCCTTCCCTTTTATAAAGAAATGCAGGAAGAAGCGCAGCACACCGCCCTCGGCTCTGCCACCCGCGGCGCCTACTACGAAGACGCCTACGGCAACCGTCTCCGCAGTGCTCGACTGGCGCAGAAGGAGCGGGAGAAGCAGGAGCAGCTGGCTGCGCGGCGCCGTCGGTGGGCAAAGAAAAAGGGCTACTTTCACCGCGACGACGCCGAGGAGGGAGCGGCGGGCCGATCGGCGGCGGCGATGTTGGAGGCGATGCTGACGTCTACGGACGATTCTCGCCAACGTCGTCACGCGGCGGTGCCGAGCCGCACGCACGATAAAAAGCGCAGACGGGAACGCGACTCGGGCAGCGAGGACGAGCCCTCTCCAGTGCACATCAGCGACGGCGACGACGACGTGCAAGAGACAGCCAAGCCGTTCAGCAAGAAGCGAACAGGTCGGGGCAGACCTCGCGCCCGATCGAGCTCTTCTGACTCCTCCCTCTCCAGTGACAGCAGTGGCAGCGACAGCGACGTCGGCGAAGTTGCAAACGAGGGCGAGGCAGCGGCGAAGGATGAAATTACGAACATCGCCGTCGTCTCCGGCCCGACCGGCTCCGGCAAAACGGCCGCCGTGTACGTCGCGGCGCAGTTGCTGGGCTTCCGCGTCGTGGAGATGAACGCGTCGGTGCGGCGGTGTGCGAAGACGGTGGAGCACCTGCTGGCGGAGCTCACTCGCAGCTACCGCCTCAGCGGACTTCGCGCCGGCCCCTCCGGCTTCAACGCGGAGGAGGAGCTGACCAAACTCCGGCAGCAGCACGCAGCGTTGGTGGAGAAGGCGAGGGCGGAAGCCGCGGCAGCGGAGCGGGAAGCCGAGCAGAAACGGAAAGAGGCGCGCAAGACGAACGGCATTTCCGCACAGGCCGTCGCGAATTTCTTCTCAAAAGGCAGCAGAAGCAGCACCGCCAAAAAAGTAGGCGGCGACGCGGCCGGTACGGCACCCGGTCGGCAACAGCAGCGGAAGACCGTGAGCGTGGACGATGCGGCAGAGGAAGACGCCGTAGTGCAGGTGCCGCCACGACCACCTTCACCATCATCACCACCACCACCGCCGCCGCTCCCTTCGTCGTCCTCCACCGCCGCCTCACCCGTACCGACACCGGCCTCTTCCTCCGTCGGCACACGCACCCTTCTCCTATTCGAGGATGCGGACATCCTTCTCGGCGACGAGTCCGCCAAGCCCTTCTACGCCGCCATTCGCGACCTCGCCCACCGCAGCAAAGTACCAATCGTGGTGACGGTGTCTGCCGACTCCTCGCCAACGCAGCGCTATGATACGTCTCTTTTTCTATCTCCAGAAATGGCACGCCGGCATACCACAAGCGCCACGACGACGACCACAGCGACGACAAGGTCTGGCCGATCATCAGTACCCCTGCACTCCACCTATTGGCAGCTGTGTGAGGAGGTCGGCTTAAACACACCGATGGACTCCCTCGAGGCCGCGTACAATGCCCTGCATGCCTCTCCTGTCTTGGGCGATCGCCCCAGCAACGCCGTCACGAGTGACAACGCGACAGGCAGCAGCAGCCCAGACGGCGCTACTGCTCATGCTGGAGGGAACTCACCCCCAAGCAGCCTCAACGGAGCAGCCTCCATCATGTCTCTCTTTCCTCCGTCGAGCATGGCGGCCTGCACCGGTGGGCCTACCGTGGCATCTGGCAGTTCGAATAACGGCGCAGGTGCGACAATGATGTCGTCCCCCGCCGCTACCCACAACGGTAGTACCGGCAGCACCTCCACAACCAACTCCCTCGCCGCTCGCCACACGCACATGCTGCTCAGCGCCTCACTTGTCTCGAACTTCTTTGGAGTGCGGACGCCGTTTACCGTGGTGGAGGCACTGCCCCTGTCAGCCCTCTACGCCCAGCTGCTCGCCGTCGGGGCAGTAGAGTTGGATCTTCTCCACTGGTCCCCTCCATCGCGTCCAGAGAGCCCATTGGTAAGCGCGAATCCCTCCGTGATCTTTCCTTCTCCGCTCGTTGCAGGGAACTCCCAGCAGCCCTCGCAGCTGCCCTCGACGCCGTTGTCGTCGTCGTCGTCGTGGCAGCAGGACATGGACCGGCTGACCAGCTCACTGTGCCTGCGCGACCCGGCACTCTTCTTTGAACTCGCCGCCCACCTCAGGCACGCGCTCTTTGGTGTTCGAGTAGAGGACACAGTCGAAGGAAGTGGAACGACAGAGAACGCAGCAGCAGCTGTAGCAGGAGAAGATCCTCGCAAGCGAAAGGCCACGCTACCCCGCGAGCCCACTTTGTCCACCGCAATCCAGTGCGACGCGGCTGGTCGCACCACCACCGACATTCGTTACTGGCTAAATCGGTTGCAGATGCTGCTGCTGAGCCTGCGGGCACGTGTGCGCAGCGTGCAACTTCACGATGATGAAGCGCTGACCAGCGCGAGGGAACACGACAATCCGAAGTGTTGCGAAGTACCTCGTCCGCCACGTAGTGACGATGCAGCTGACGAGGATTGCAGCACAGCGGCTGAAGACGGGGAGGAAGGTGAAGCGGGCCCGTTGCCCTGCCGGCATGCGGAGCGACTGCTGGAGGGCGAGTTCCAGCACTACACCAGCTTTGCGGCGAGTACGTGGGATCGCGCACTCGGTCAGTACATGGCGCACCTCTCGCACAACGAAGGGCAGAGTAGCCGCTACGAGTATTGGCTGCTGGACGACCACGTCGACTACGTAGCGGACATCGTGGGGGAGTTGAACACGCAGAACCACCCTACGCTGCACGTCAACTACACGTCCCCACCGGGTGCGAAGTCATCTCCGTCCCCACCGCCTGCATCCGCGCGACGTGGGCGGCCTCCGTCATCCTCCACGGCGGCGGCAGTCAACGTAAAGCAGGGCGGAAAAGGCAGCAACTCCAACCCATTTCCGGGCCCTCCTATGAAAGTTGCATCAACTACCTCTACGAGCGCCAACACCGGCAGCACCTCTGCCTCCACAGACGGTTTGAACTCTTCGTGGAAGACGCTCTTTGGTGGAACAAAGGAAGGAGGGGTGACAGCTGCCCCTACCACGCTTCCAGGCGGTCAGCGAACGTTGCGTGGCTCCCCGCGCATGCCTTCTACTGCAGGTGCCACGCCGGCAACTTCAGCCTACGCAAGTGGTGCTGTCTCTGATGTGCCGGCTCGCTATGAGTGGCCTCCCACCCTGCATGAGCTACGCAAGCAGGCGAACACAAACAGTAGCGCCGTGCGCCTGCGACCCGTCGAGCTGCTTCTCCCCTACAGCACCGCCCAAGCCTACTACGACGCCGTCGCCACCTCTGCCTCTTGCAATGCGTTAACTCGCGTACCGGACGTTGCCGAGCCGTCGCCTCTCTTGTTAGGCCACGACACCCCGCTGCACTTCGTGGACCGCCAAGGCGGACGTGCTATGATCGAGGAGGAGGGCGACTACAGCGAGGTGAGAAGTGAGCTGCCGTCTAGCGTGCACGTGACGCAGGAGGAGCGCTTTGCGGTCTTTCGGCGTTGGTGGCGGCGGACGCGTAAAGTTGGCGCTCTGCGGGACAACGTCGCGGGGCGGTCCGCAGCAGCGTTGGAGGACATGCTCGGTTACGGCTGTCTGATGCTGCCGTCGCCCGCAGCCGCATCGGGCAATAGCGGAGGTAGTTAAAGGGAGATTTGCTGCTTGTGAAATAAAGTCTAAAAAATAGGATTGATTGTTTCGAGTGAGTATACGTCTCGTTGTATTCACGTTAAGGCACCTGCATAGAAATGCGTTACATAGAAGAAAACAAGCCCCTTATTACTTATAAAAAGACGGGTGTTCAGCTTCGCGAACCACTGTTTTATTATTATTATTGGCTCAGCAATGGTTTTCTTATTAAAGCTATCGAATGGCGACTGAATTCCCTTTCACTCGTGTGGAGAGCGAAGTGTCATCAAACGTATGTCTGTTTTGTTACCCCGGTGCACGTGGTGTACTTCATCTTCGCTCATGAGACGGTTTGACGGGCTCAAACTGAGGTTGGTTTTTAGGGGCTCACGCACACACACACACCCTTAAACGGTGATGCATCCACAATCGTTTAGGGGGTGATCTTCCCACGTGCATTGCTGCGCTTTTATGTATTAATATCTTCTCGTTATTTCTTTCTCTTCTCATTTATTGATAATTTCTTTTACTTTCCGTTGGCAAACAGCGTCCTTTTTTCGTTTTATATTTTATATATATATATATCCTACCTGCTGTTCATTGAGCTCGTTTATTCTGTTGTTGTGTTTCATCGCTGCTCATTACGTCGCCGTCCGCATCCTTTGGGAGGGAGGCAAGGCAGAGGCAGCGAGGGCTGAACAGAGCAGCAGCAGCAGCATCAACAACACCCGCTACGCGGGAGCGCGGTCATCGCGTGGGCTTCATCTTTCAACTTCGGTCTGCTTTGCGGCTTTATATATATATATATAAACTCGAATACTTCGTGTATTTATGTTTGTATGTTTATGTGTGTCTTTTCCTCGCTGTTGTCACTATCAACTTATATTTTTATTTGTAATTTAATTAAAGGACAACGTGTGCTTTCTGTTGTTGTTGCTCCTGTTGATTGCCGCAACGAAGCACGAACCTTTTGTTTCTCCCTTTAGAACTGCTTCACAGTCATCCATCCGTCCGTGCTCTCCCTCCCCCTACGACACCTCTCATGCTCTCACCCCCCTCCTTCGCGGGGGCGGCGGAGCACAGCAGCGACGACCACAACATCGCCATCGCTGCTGCCGCTTCGGGCACTTCCGACAATCTGACGCTGCCGGTCATCGTTCACTACCTTCGCCACGCTCGGCTGCCATGCCGGCGTGTCCCCGGGCCACCGATTGTCTCGTCCGCTGCTTCCTCCGCAGCTGCCACCGCCTCGGGCGCCACCTCAGCTTCTCAGGACAGTCGAAATGCTTCTGTCACACGGCCTTTCGCTGGTCCTTCGGAGTCCCCGCCGCCCACTGAGGCCGCTCCAACAGCCACCTCAGCGTCACCTGCAGGGGCATCGACTTGTACCCCCTCGCACCCCCAAGCCGGCAAGGCCGAGACGCCCCTCCACGCCGCCCAGCAATTTCTCGCCTCCTCGGGGGCCTCGCTGATGTCCTTGGCGAACTCATCGTTCTACCTCACCCTGCGCAGCACTCTTGACGGCGGCCACACGGCGGCAAGCGGTGGCGGCGTGGAGGAGCTCGCGGACGCAGCTGAGGAAAACTTACTGACCTCCTCGTCGGCCACGGCAGCATTGAAGGAGCGCTTTAACAGCGGCAATGGCAGTAGCGTCGGTGGGATTGACTGGAAGAAGCTGGTATACGTCCGTCAGCAGTGCCGGTACACCGGAGAGGCCCTCGTGTCGCCGCCTCAGTCGTCCTCTACTGACGCAACAGGAAACGGGGTCGACACGAAGGATCTACGGCCCACGACAGCGGCGGCATCCTCTACCGCAGAAGCAGAGAAGTCCGTCGGCGCGCGCTTCATGCAGTCTCTCCTGCACCCTTTCATTCCAGCCGCCTCGTCGGCCACCGCAGCTGCCAACGGTTGTAGCGGCGACTCTCCCGAGAGGAACTCCGCTGTGAAAAGGATGAGCGACGCAAGCCTCACGGTGCCACACGGTGAAGGGGTGATGACGTATGTACTGTACGCGATGCCGAAGTCCGACTACAGCCCAGTCCCCACCGTCCCCGCATCCACAGCGAACAAAGCGGTCGAGAAGGATGCTCCATCGGTCGCACCTTCTGCGCTGCCCTTCCTTCCACCGACTCTGATCCCGACAGAGTTCTGCCCGGCCCTGTCCGAGTTGGACCATCACCCGGCTGCTGATGCTGCCGCTTCCTCCGCCACGGACCAGCCGGACCCAGCCAAGCTGCTTCTCCTGTCCTTGGTGGTGTACGAAGGCGCGTTTTTACATGGGCAGCGCCACGGCCGCGGTCGGCTAACGGTGTATAGTCGCTTTGTGCTGGAATGTACGTGGGTGCACGATATACCTTGCGTGGATATCCCACGTCAGGTTGCGTCGTCCTCGTCGCAATCGTCGACGGACGGGTCTGCTCTAGCGCCGCCCACGCTGCGTCGTATTCACGCACACGTCTGCGACTCAGCCGGCACAACCGGAAATCTCGCCGATGCACGCGGCATTAACAGAAGCGGCGGGGCATCGCTCTCGTGGTCGATCCGCACTTCTCAAGTGTACATGGGCTCTCTCGTGTTGACTGCGTTGGCGACGAAACGACTTCTCGCAAAGCTAGAAGACGCAGGTCACGCTGCTCCTTCTCCTCCGCTGACGGTGATGGAGGTGCACGGCGCGCACTACGCCCGTCTCGCCCTTCCCCCGCTCTCCACGCCGTCCTCGCAGGGGTGCGATTTTGTTGCAGCCTCCCACGCCTTCAGTGGACTCGCCTGGGCGAATCACGTGGTGCCGCTGCCCGACGGCTTCGGTGAAGCCCAGTATTTCCACGAACGAGACGCGCCGTTGTCTCCGCCCCCATCCCTTGTGTGTCCCGCCTTCGGCCTCTTCCATCCACGACTGTGGGTGCCGGAGAGTCGACGCTTGCCGCGACCCCAGCAGCAACTGCATCACACATCGCTTTCCAGCTCCGCGCTGGACGCCGCTCTCTGCTCACTCTACTGTGGGGAGTGGGTCTCCGGGCTTCCCCACGGCTTCGGCGTGGAGCTGGAGCGCGTCACGGACCCGACGTGTGCACCGCTGGCCGTGTCCTGCACCGCCGCCGGTGCCGGGCCGCCGCAGTACCCGTGGCGTACCCTCTTTCTTGGCCAGCGTGTCCGCGGTGCGCGCTGTGGGCCGGGCACCTTCCACGGTCTGCAGGGCAGTGAGGCAACGGAAGTGGTTGTCTGCGGCACATGGCCACGTACGGCTCTCCTCGCGAACAGTAGTGGTGGCAGCGCTAGCAGCCATGGATCACCGACACCCCAGCAGGAGTCGGCGAATGTGGTGCTGCTGCCACCGTCACCCAGTCGTGGGCGTGGCCGTGGTGCCTCCTCCTCCTCTTCCTTCGTCACCCTGCAGGGTGCTCGATGGGTAGAGGAGGAGGAAGACGGCGGCGGCGGAAGAGTTGGTGGACACGGGAGCCACATGAACAGCTGCAGCAGCAACTACAGCGGCGGAGGTGGTGGCATCTTTCCGTCGGCCACGCTAGGTCAGTCGCCCAACGCGCTGAGTGGCATGTGGGAACCACTATTTGGCGCCGTGGATAGCGCGGTCTCGCAGCCCGCCGCTCCCTTGTTGCTGCTCAGGGGATCGGACGGAACCGATGACGCTGCCTCTGCGTCGTCGTCGTCGCTCATTCTCTTCTCGAGAGATGCCATGTGGCAGCAGGCGCGACGCGTGATGGACCGTCTTACGCAGTCGCCCGAGTGCGTGTCTGCCCTGCGCGGCTTTCGGGCGTGCTTTGCGTGCATCTACGGCTGCGACGCCGCCGCCGTCGCTGCTACAGGAGGGGAGTTTGTTGCTGGGGCCGGGAGCAATGACGACGGTGCACATCAGAGTGCGACGACCTCATCTTCGCCAAGCCACAGCAGCAATACGGATGGTCGAACGACGGAAGACAAGGGAGGAAAAGCTGTCGGGACGGCTGGGTCGATGAAAGAAATGTTAGCGCGACTGCAAAAAGCCACCGCCGCGGCGCCGGCAACAGGCGATCTAGCGTTCGGTTATCCCTGGTGCCCGCTGCACTCCTGGTGTGGTATGGCCCGCCTCACCGCGCCCAGTGCAGACGCCGAAGGAGAGTTATGTCACTTTGCTGCCTCCTCATCATTGCTTCAGAGAGAGCAGCACAACTGCCACACGGGCTGCCTGCATACGCCGCTAAGCAACGGTGCTACACATCGGCAACCCACAGCAGCACGAGCAACAACGCCGATCATCGGAAAGATGAGAGACGCCTGTTGTGCACCGCGTCGGCCGCCGCTTTCGGCCGTCGCAGCCGCGCTCGAACCGCACGCCGCGGCGAACACCTTCGCCCACGCCATGCACGCCGCAGCGGCGATGGTGTCCTCGCTGCGCCTGCGCCTTCTGTCGTGCTTTGCGGCTTACCCGGATCTGTGCGAGATCGTCATGAGCCACAGCGCTCATGATGACGGCATTCTCGCCTATTGCTGGGATGTCGTCTTCGACTATGTGGGCCCTGTATTGTATGAGAAGGCGACGGCGGTGGCGGTGGCGGATGTGCGAATGGTGTGGGACCTGCTCGGGTTGGATCGGGTGGGGTTCAGCGGTCCGCAGAAGAATGACGGCAAAGACGCTGCTGCGGATGCCGCGGTCACACCAGAGGTGACGGTGCGTTCTGGCTGGCAGCCGGAGGGCAAGGAAATGCTTCGTGACTATCTGGTCGCTGTACGGCGCTGCCGTGCCCTGGGGAAGAGTGATGTTGTGGACACTCTGTTTGCATTTCCAAACGCTCGAGAGGAGGAGGAGGTGGCAGAGGCAGATGAATTTCAGCAGTGTTTAACGTCTCTCGAAGCCTGCCTCGGCCCACCATCGCCGGTTGCGGCGTCAGTGACAAGCGGTCGCCGTCCCAGTCTGCAGGTCATCATGGACGCCCTCCAGAGACTGCATGTTCTTCTGTATGGGCCGGTGGCGTCGGAAAGCACGGGAGACGGCGGACAAGGAGGGCAAGGTGGCGTGCAGGTGACACCCCACGAAGCCGCGAACGCAGCGGCACAACGGCAACTCTTCACACCATCACAACGAGAAGCCTTGTTACGGTGGCTCCTACTGGCTGCCTCAGATCCATCTTCGCACACGTCGTCCACACCCCGCAGGTCGGCTGCACGCACAGCGCAGCATCAAGGGCAACCCTTTGCGCTGCTGTTGATCGCCGCGTACGTGCTGGACTGCCGCATCACGCCGCCATACCCGGTCCGCCGCCTTCCTGGTCCGGACCAAACCTCGGAATGTGTGAAGCCCGAGGACCTGTTACGCCTCCTGAAGGAGCTGGGCTACGCGGCGCGGCAGCTGCTGCATACTTTTCCATCTATCCGCGCGCAGACGTTTGCACGGCCGCTTGTGTATCCGCTGGATGCGCTCTTCTTGAAGCTCGAGTACGTCCTCAGCCCCTGTGCGATGTATTTTTCCCTCTCGTCTCCGCCGACGGTGCCGGCTGTCTTCGATCTTCCTACCTCTCCATCGCCACCGAAGCAGTCGCCTCCTCCTCCTTTCTCGGAAGCAGCGCTGCAAGCCACCACCACCACCACCGCGTCCGGTGTCACTTGCGACTGTGCGAAAGGCGTCGTGGTTCGTGTCGAGCTGGATCAGCTTCCCGTCGACGTCCTGCAATGGTGCAACGAGGCGCTCACCGACGAGGTAACGGAGAGCCTGCTGCAAAGGCGGCTGCACTTTTACTGGAGTCGGTGGACGGTCGCGACTCCTCCCCTCGCCAACTCCGCCGACAAGGCCGAAGAGGGCTTGAAGAGAGACCCGCCTGCGCCGCCGTCGCCGCTGGTTCGTTGGGTGCTGGGGTGTCTGCGAAGTGCTCTCAACGGACCTGGCCGACAAGTCGCACCGCGCCAATCGGAGCCGCTGCCTTCGCTCCTCCCACCGCCATCCTCCGGCGGTGACTGCATCTACACCTGGAAGAAGTTCATCAACGCCGTTTTCTTTACCCAAGAGGAGAAGAAAGAGTGGGCCACAGCAGCAGCAACAGCAACAGCAGTCGTGAGTCCTTTATCAAGGAGCGATTACGTGTATCTCGTAGCGCTGGCGTACGCACTGCGCGAGCTCAGTGGGGCTGATCTCTCCTTTGCGGCGCAGTTCGTGCGACAAGACGAGGAAGAGGAAGATGAGGAGGGTGAGGAAGCGGGGACCACGACGGCGGCGGAGTACGATGAAAGCATCGTGGGCATCAGCGCCGATGAGGGCAGCCACCGGCGGCCCAGAAAGTCGCGCCTGCGCTCCACCGAGTCGCGTAAAGGTCGGAAGAAAAACATTTTTCTTAGCTCCTCCTCCTCCACCTCTTCCTCTTCTGCTTTGGCGGATTCACCGATGATGGCGTCTCCCGCTGCGTCACCTCCGGTCGAGCCGCACGCATCGCTGCCGCCCGAGTCTGCGGCAGAGACGGCGCAGCGGACACCCAGCTCGGTGGGCTTTCACACGCCATCGCTCACGTCGTCTCCGCTGCCCCCGCACAGTGACTTCTCGGCGTCGGTCGTTGCGCGAAATACGTCGTCACACGGCGTGGTGGGGCGGGTGCACCGCGTGAAACGGGGACCCTCCGCGGTGCTGTCGGAAAGCGCTGCCGCTGCTGTCGTCCCGCTGGGCAAGGAGTGGACGCTGACGGTGCGCGTTCGTCAGGAGGAGAAGGCAGAGTCACAGGAGGTCGCACTGCAACCGCGCGTCTTTGCGCACGGTCTTCTCGGGGAAGTGATGGAGCGTGTCTGTGCTCTGGTGGAGCATCGTATTCAGGAGAGAAAGCCGGTGCCAGCTACCGTGGAGAGCGAGCCGCACCAGCTCAAGGCTCGTCCGAGATGAGGAAGAGAGTTGATCCGACAGAAAATAAAAAAAGAGTGTCAGGTAAAAGGCATGCGCTTTCCGGACATTCCCTTCTTCCTTTTGTTGATGTTGCTGTTGTTTATCGTTACCGTGCTCGATTGCGCGCCAACCGCGCAACTCCCAAGCCCCACGCTACAAGATGGTGAACAGGCAAAGGAGGGCCACCCTCAAGGATCACGCGAAAAGCAGGCATTTATGTTCTTTCTTATTATTATGAATGCTATTAGTGTTGATGCGAATGTCTGATAACGAGAGGGTTAGAAGAAAAAAGAATCGAGGTGGCATGCGTGCATGAGGAGATGTGCACTCGTGCTGGTACTCACGACTTCTGCTGATGTATCGGGTTATTATTATTATTACTTCTGTCTTCAACGTCTTGTTCATCCTCTCTCGCTCTCCCTCCCTCCCTTCTCTGTGCTGTCTGCGCCGTTCTATTGCCTTCTATCCGTATATACTGTTGTGTGCTTTCTTCTTTTCTTCTTAATCCGAACAATGCGGGGTAAAGCGTCTCGGTTATTTGGAAAGCAAGGTGCGAGTTGCCGAGGAGCCGTTTGCTGCTCGCTGACCCCCCCCCCCCTCCTACTGGTTCTTCTCAGTGCTTTTTTTTTCTTTTTCCTTTCCACGTGTGGGGTATTTCTTGCCCTCTGCGCAGACTTTCTGATTATTTGTTTTGTTTTGTTTTTCTTTAGTAGAGTAGTACGGCAATTACCACATTTGTATACACACCCACGCAGGGCACATTCACATCGCACGCACGCCATTTAGATTTCCGGTCTGCGTCGCTTACATGCGGAGGAGCTGCTGTCTTGTGTATGTGTATGTGTGTGTGTATTTCCATATTCTGTCGGTTTTTTTTTTTCCCTGGTTCAGTTGTCGCACCGTAGCGCATGCTGACGCTGTAGAGCTCCGTTAAAAGAGAAGATATATATATATACGTATATTCTTTTCTATTTATTCATTTACAGCAACCGTGAGACCGTCTCAGCAGCGCCACTTCACTGCGTTAGCTCCAACCGCAATTTCATCTCCCTTCGAAGTCCCACACCATTCTTTTGTTGTTGTCGCCCTTTTTCCCACCTCTTCGGCGCTGTTGTCGTGATTCTATTTGTCGGTTTCTTATTATTATTATTATTTTGTAGCGGCGAAGTAGCCCACAAACCTGGTAGAGTGGAAGATGGACACTACAGCGGAGAGCAGCACTTTCGTGCAGAGTGAGGCGAACGCCTCGCACGCCCACGCGGACACCAACACCGCGAAGGTCGGCATCGGGGCCGGCAGCGCGGCGAAGCACGACGAGCGGGAGGCGCTGGCCGCCAGCGACGAAGACGAAACAACGAACCCATACGAGCCGGAAGACGGGGAGCAGCCCCACTCGCAGGGGGACAACACCACCGTAAGCGCAGAGACCCACTCCTCCTCCCTCGCGTCGTCGTCCGCCTCTCCAGTCTCCGCTCGCTCGGCCACGCCGTCGCACGACGCGGCGCAACCCGCGGAGCAGCCTCCGCGAGACGCCGCGATGTTAGAGTCTGCAGCGACGACGACGACAGTGAGGGGCCGCGATGGGTCGAACCTGGGGAATGAGGTGCCGCGCCCCACACACCCCTCTCAGGAATCCCCGTCGGTGTCCGCCATGTCGGCGCCGCTGAGCAACGCCGCCGCGCAGCAGCCTTCCCCAAACACGAGCACGGCGTTCCCTGCGGATGTGTCGTTGATTGTCGCCTTGGCTGGCGAGGCTGAGGCGGCACCATCGCCCCCCACGTCGCAGTCTTTCAACGCACCCAATGGCGTTTCCCCGATCCGCAGCAATTTCGTTGGCGGTCCTGGTGGGCCGGGGCGGTCCGCCACTTCGGCCGCTGGTCCTGCTGGTCCTGCTGCCCGCACCTCCCCCTACGCGCAGGCCTCACCCTTCCCCTCCGCACCGCAGACGGCGAACAGCAGCGCCATGTACCCGCTGTCCGACAGCTACGCCATCCCGCAGAGCACAGGTGTGAACGCGCCGTCCTTCACCACCTCCCACCCGACCCCCTTGACCAATGCAACGCGCGACCGGCCCAACAGTGCCAGCACGTCGCCCTACCCACGCCCACAGCCGACCTACGCGGCGACGGCACAAGGGGCAGAGACGGAGTTCTTCGGTCGGCCTGGCCCTCGCGCTGCGGGACCCGCTGCACCAACGAACGCGGCATCGGCGGGCGCGGTGGCGGTGGTCGGCCCCCCCGCTTCCGAGGAGCGTCGTCTCGTGACCATTCCTGTGAGCGACAACGACGAGGAGAAGGACGGCGACGCGGACACGTTGCACGCAAAGCGGCAGCGTCAGTGGGGTGTGCCTGCCGACGGTGAGCTGCCGCACCGCTCCCGCCGTCTCCGCCCGGAGGACGACGCCGTCGACACATCACCGGTGGAGGACGACGGTGATGGCACGCACTCGGATGAGGAGCGAGAGGAGGCGGACGGCAGCTACGCCACCGGCAGCTACAGCTACTCCGACTACTACAGCTACAGTGACGAGGAAGACGCGGAGGACTACGAGTACTACGAGGAGTTCTACGAGGAAGAAGTCGAAGAGGACGAAGAGGACGAAGAGGAGCCGCGCATCGACATCATCGAGGGCGATGGCCACGGCCACACCCTGAACGACATCCTCTACGGCACCCCGAAGGCGGGGGCCAACCCGAAGAACGACTACAACAAGGACTTCACCGACTCCATTCGCTCCGATGTGCCGGACAGTCGCGACGCCGCGAAGGCGAAGGAGAGTCGGCGCGGTCACTCCCACCCACGCCGTCAGCGCGCGGCAGCGGAGGAAGACGTCCAGGAGACGCCGTCCATGACGCCCACCGAGTCCTCGCAGACGTCTTCACGCTCGGAGCAACAGGAGGTGGAGGAAGAAGAAAGTGAGGAGGCGGCGGCTCGCGGACCGGTCCGTCGTGCTACGCCGGAGCGGGCGGCTCGTCGTCATCACCGCAACAACAACAAACCGTCCAAGCACGACGATGAGCCGGCCGAGAGCGATGACCAGGAGGGGGAGCCGCAAGAGCGGCAGCGTGTCGCGGCAGTCGTGCCGGCGAAAGATGGCAAGAAGCTCTACAAGCGCGGAGAGCCGTACACCGAGGGGACCTACAAGCCAAAGAAGGGCAAGAAGGAGAAGGAGAAGAAGGCCGCCAAGCACTACGGCCGGGGGAAGGACCTGGACGGTGCTGCGACGAGCAGCGAGGACGACGACAACAGCAGCGGCGGCAGCGGAGATGAGGAGCGGCACGAGCCCATGACCGCTGCCGCCGCCGCAACAAGAGTTGGTGCGAAGGCGGCGGACTTCTCCTCGTCCTCGCTGGACGCGACAGAATCGAGCAGCTTCGATGGCGACTTCACTGCCGCGTCTCGCGGCGTCTCCCGCCATCGTCGTGGTGAACGTCGCGGGGAGGCGAAGGCGAAGAAGGGCGATGCCTCCGCGCACGGCAGCCACAGCAGCAGCAGCAGCACCTTCAGCGATGGGGAGGAGGAAGAGAGGGAGGGGGCCGGGTCGGACCTCTCAGAGGCAGCGGCGGCGGCACCCGCAGCGAAGGCGAAGTCGAAGAAGGCGACCGATGACAAGGCGGCGAAACAGAGAACGAAGAGCCCGCGAGCCGGGTCGCAAGACGCGGGGGCGGTGGTAGTCGCCGAGGAACCCGTCAAGACCCCGCAGACGCTGGAGGGCAAGAAGGACGCGGAGCCGAAGACGGAGGGGACGAAGGAGGAAGGGGACAAAGAGGAGAGCAAGCCAAAGACCGACGCCGATGCCGCTGCATCCGAGCCGAAGGCGAAGCAAAAGAAGGAGAAGGCCGGTGTCATGTCCCGCTGCCTGAGCAAGTTCTTCTGCCGGAAAACGAAGGATGGCAAGGATCTTGACCCGAAGGAGGAGGAGAGGGAAGCCAGGCAGGAGGCGAAGAAGGCGAAGGCCGCCGCCAAGAAGGCCAAGAAAGAGGAAGAAGAAAAGAAGAAGAAAGCGGGCGACAAAAAGAAGAAGGGCGGCATCCTCGGCGGCCTGTGCGCCGGCGGCGGCAAGAAGTCCGCGAAGGACTCCGTCGGCAACAAAAACGGCGACACAAAGAAGCCAACGAAGGCCGACGAGGGGAAGGCGGCGGAGGAGGAGGCGGCGAAGAAGGAGGCAGGGGAGGAGGAGGCAAAGCCAGCAGCGACGACACAGGAAGAGGCGAAGAAGGATGAAAAGCCCGCCGCGGCGCCTCCGGTGGAGCATCCGTCCGACAATGAGCCCGCAAAGGAGGCGGGGGAAAAAGACCAACAGGCAGCGGACGAGCCGGCGAAGTCCCCCACACAAGCGAGTCGTGCCAAAGGCGAGGCCACGGAGAAGCAGCCGGCGCACACCGACGCGGTGGGGACCACCGCCCCCCTCTCCGAGAGCTCCTCACCAGCCGCCGCGACAGACGAAGAGGCGAGCAACTCCGGAGCCGTGCCCGTGCCCGTGTCAGCCGAGGAGAAGCGACATCGTCCGCGGGTCGCCGTCGCAAGCGCCACTGCGGCCCCGGTCAGCGCGGCAGAATCGAAAAGGAAGCGAAAGAAGACGAAGACAGACAAGAAGGCGTCTCGTCACGTCCACCGCCATTCGCATCCAGACGAAGGTGCCGCGGTGGAGCCGGAGAGAGCCGAAGAAGAAGAGGAGGAAGACGAGACGATTGCTGTAAAAGACGCATCCGCCTCCGCAGCAGCAGCGCAGCCGCCGCGCCGCCACCGTCGTCCTCGTGCCGGTGCCGTGGAGAAGGAGAAGGAGAAGAGGAAGAAGAGTTCCAATGTCGCGAAGTCAGACAAGGGTAAGACGCCCAACAAGAATGTCATCTCGATTGAGGCGACGCCGGTAAATCAAACCTCACCGCTTAGAAAAACACCGAATGCGTCGCCGGCGTCTGCGAAGAAAAAGGGCGGACCTAACGCGTGGGATGACGTGGACTGAGCGTGGCTCCTGAACCTTTGGCCGGACTCGGTTTACACCAGTCCTTTTCTGGCATTTTCTTTTTGTTTCTATTTCTGTTGGGCCTGTACCGATTTGTTGTTTCTCTCTTCGTTTCACGCAAGAGCTCGTTAATCGAGACCTGGGCATTTGTATTTCATTCCTTTGAACGAAGGCTCCACCATTTACATATTTAGAGAATTTATTCGCGTTTATTTCCGTTTTTTTGTTTACCGTTGTTGTTTTCTCTCTTGCATTCACTCATGAATTTGTCTTCGACCGTTTTGCTGGGTGGATGCGATGCAATTATTATCGCTCGACGATTCCCCGCGCCTTTACGTGTGAAAGGAGAGAATGCAAGAAAGAAGGGTAGGTATACGTTCGTTGACATGGAAGCATTAAGGTGGACTGTCCCGTCTCACAAGCGCTAAGCCAAGAACGTGTCTTCTCTTTTTGTTAGAAGAAAAAAATCTCTTCTTTGCTACATTCAAATGGCGTGCTGATGTGCACTTCTCTATAGACCGCGCCGAAGCGGATGTTGTCTTTTTGCAGAGGCATATATGTTTTTTGTTTCTGTTTTTTACTCGGGTCGAAAGAGCCAGTGCAACCGCTTTTTCCCCGTTTACTTTATCCTTTTACTTTCTGCAACGTCAGTCCCACATGCACGCACGCACGCACATACACACACACACACACGCCTCAACCGTATTCCTGTGGAAGCCGTCAAACTCGTGGTGCTTTCCTCATTCAGGCGTTTACTAGTTTATAGATCTTTCGAGTTTGTTTCAAACAACAACAACAAACTTTTACGTCTCTTGTGATGCTTTTTTTTTACATTCTCTTTTGTGCTTCAGTGGGTTTGCTTGTGTGCTTGCAAGGAGGGAAATGCGTACAGAGAGAGAGAAGAAGAACGTGACCGACAACAGCGGAATCTTGATGAGAGGCCTTTTTTTTTTAGTTGTTTGTGCCTCGAACTCCTTTCGACGAGTCCCCAGTATCGATCGTGTTGTACTTGGAGTTTTTTTATTGCTTTGTTGAAACCATGAGATTTTTTAAAAGCGAAAGAATTCAGCACTTTTCTTCTTGTCCTAGTGCTGCTTTGTGTGTGTGACGGTGTGTGTGTGTTGTTGTTGTTGTGCGTGTCAGTTATACTGTGTAGTTCTGTGACGATTCTGAGAAGGCGATTCGCTCGACTCTTTTCTTTATTTGTCGGCCCGGGGAGGGATGGGGGTTACTATTATTATTGACGTCTCTTCTTCTTGAAAAATGCATTGTTGGTAGACTCAAATCTCAAAAATGAAAGAAAAAACAGCATTCGCTCTGTCGGTATGTTCCTCATGATCCGCTGCGGCTTGAGATGATCGGGTGCGCCTTCTCTGTCCAGTGTCGCCTGCGGCCGGAATACCAAGGGGGTGGGGGAAAAAGAAGATGCTCGCTTGCGCATTTTCGTTTATAAGTGCAGCCGTCTCCCCTCCTCCTTCTGCCTTAGCGGTTGTGGATCCTGTTCTTTTTGTTCCTTACACTATGTTGGTGTAGGAAGAGATGACGAACCGAAGTTGTGAAAAGCAGGGGGGGACGCTGCGCAGTTGGTGCGTTGCTTTCCTCTAAAGGATCCGCCGCGCATCACGTGTCGCCGTGCTTTTCGGCCTTTCCTCCCCCCCTCCCTGCCCCTTTCAGAAGAGGCAACGACAACTTCGTAGTTTTACCTCTCCTCCCTCCTTCTTTTTTTTTATCTCTTCTCTTCCTTGTCATTCCATCACGTCTGCCTTCACTCATTACTGCTTCCTTTGTTGTTTTCTATCGTCCCCGCATCGTATTGCGTTAACTGCGGCTTTGCGTGTGTGTCTATGCGTGGCGTCAAACTTCGCTTCTCTCGCCTGCCTACGAAACACACACACAAACACACGTACTCATACCTGGAAATATTGTTTCTCCCTTCCTCTTCCTCGTCGCCAACAGCACGGCTACCGTAGAAACAGGGGAAAAGGAAACGATTTAGTTTGTTGGTCAAACTCTCGACGTGTGGAAGAGTTGAAGAAGAAAAATCAAAAACCGAATAAGCAATTTTCTCTTCTCTTCTCTTTCCCTTTTCTTTAAACGTCTAACTAGAGAAAAAGAAGTCTGTCTCGTTGTGTGCGGGTGTGTTGGTGCACACTTCTTTATTTCGTTTCTTTCTTTTCGTTCTCTGCATTCTCGAGAGAAAACGGGATCTTCTATTTCTCTCCTGTGTTCCCACTTCTCTTCCGGTAATTCACTGAAACAACCAAACACACACACAACCAAACAAAAAACGTTCTTCTTAAAGAAGGAAAAGGGGAAAGGGATAATTTTTCGTCGTCGCGGCGCTTCCTCTTTCCTACTTACTATTTAATCTCCCTGCTGTTCTTTCTATCTCTTTCGGTCTCTTCATGGTGTCCAGTCGACGATAAGCCTTCGTTTCAGTCCTTCTTCCTTTTGGTTTTCTTCTTCATTGTTGCAATATTGCCTTTTGCCTCGCCATTGCATCTCACACTCCCACGCACACACACAAGGGACGCAGTGCGCACGCCTGCTGCACTGCCTAAATTTTAAACTTTTTTGTTGTTGTTGATCTTCACTCTCAGCGCAACTGTCACCACTTTGTTTTGTTTTTTTCCGAAAGACATAAACGCTCCTGTGTTGACTTCTTCGTTGTTGTTTCCTTTTTGTATTCTCCTTTCTCTTTTATTGAGCAGGAAAGGTTGTCGAGTTTGCTGCACTCCTCCCCACCCACCACCCCACCCCCTCTCCTGGGGGTCTCGCATTGGAAGAAGAGAAATTTTTGGCCCTCCTCTTTATCTTTCTCCGTTACTCTTCACAGCGCAGGGCCCTGCCTACCATTCTGGAAAGAAGGAAGCAAGCAAAAAAAAAAGGCGGGGCAGCAGAGTCGCCCGTTGTGCCCATTTTCTTTGTTGATGCCGTTGCCGCTGTTTGGCCTGCTCACTCCTGTCGTCTTTCCATCTCCCATCTTTTGATTCGATTTTCTTTCAGACTTTTTGAACGGACTACACCCTTACACAAGTGCAGCGAGAGGAGAGAAAAAGGGAAAAGAGAAGGACACGTTAACGTCTCCAGCTCAACTGCTTCTCTTTCCTTGATTGTGTTGCTTTGTTTGTTTGTTTTTTTACGGTGACGCGTGCACACACACACACACACACTCCTTGCTCGCCATTCCAGGCCTGAGTACATCATCCATTACCCTCCTTCTCTCTCCTTCCTTCGTTGCCCCGTAGCTCTTTTAAGGAAAACAGAACGGGCCGAAGGAAGGGCGGAAGGTACTGACCGTCTTGTTCATTGAGCCTTCTTTTCTTTTTCTAAGGAGTTACTCGAAGTGTGTCCTCTACACACGCTTTCTATTTTGTTTTCATTTCTGTTTTAGGTGGCACACCCTACAACCAAAACGACAGCCAAAGAGAGGTAGTAACGCAATCTCTTTTTATTTTTCTGATAACGGACAGATTAAAGGTATTTTCATTTCCCCTTTCATTTCTGTTTTTTGCACTCAGCTATCGGTCACAGCATTCAGTCTCCCTGCTCGACTCTCCAACTATATTTTTCATTTTTTTCTCTTGTTCTCGGCTGTTGTTGCTTTCTCTTTTGTTTTGGTAGCTTTGATTTCGTGGTGCCTACTTTTCATTTGTACCTTCCTTTAACTCGCTGCCGTAGAGCAGCTGTTGATATATATATATATATATATAAATTGTTTCCCGCCCGCGTCGCACGCTTTGCTGACGTTCATCGTGTGCGGCTCATAGAAGAGAATAAAGGAAGAATAATAGCTTGGTCTTGAATATCTAGGGCAATGCAGCAGCTACACTGGACCGCACCCGGGCGTGGACTCCCCCCGGCGTCGCACAACGCGCAGCAGCCATCCGCACAAGTCAACTCTGCCTCCCATTTCACCAACCGTGGGCATCTCGCGCTGACGGGCGGCGCAAACGCTGGTGGAGGAAACGGTGGTGGTGTCCCGGTTGTCGTCCCAGCCTCCGGCGCCCCTGTCGGGCACGCCAACCCTGTCGGCAACAACGTGTTCTATGCATCCCGCTTCGCGAACACGCAGGCGACTCCGCAGAGCCCGACCTCTCAGCAGCCATCTCAACAACAGCAGCAAACTCAGCAGCAACAGCAGCAGCAGCGCGCAACGCATCCCCCCGCCAATGCGGGTCCGAGCTCTACCACGGGCGTTGGCACTGGCCACAACGTCGCCGAAATGAATCCCCCACTCGTCGGCCGAGAAGCACCGGCGATCAGCGGAGCCAACTCCGCCGCGGCCCACACGAGCTCCACCGCGACGGGGGTGTTCTTCAGCGGCACCCGCACGAACTTCACCGACATCGGCGGCGCCGCGGCCTACGGGCTCGGCGCGGGTGGGGTGGGCTCGCCCAGCGGCCCCAACGCGAACGCCGCCGGCAACCTCATGGCGGACGCGAACGATGCGGAGGTGAATCAGCTGCTGCGCGAGCTCGAGTGCTCGGTGGACACCCCACACGCTACCGCCGTGCTGCGCGATGCCGTCGACGCAATTGAGGCCCGTGCGCTGGCCAACTTCGACCCCTTGTCGCGTGACACATTTCTTGAGCAGCGCATCCGCGACGTGCTGGCGGAGCTGTCCCGCACGACGAACGAGAAGTCGCTGTTGCTGGCAGTGAACTTCATTGAGGCGCTCATCCCGATCGCCTACACAAGCCCGCAGTCGAAGTTTACCCGTCTCTGCCGAAGTCTTTCAGTTCTGCGGCAGTCCGGCAACGAGAAGGCGGCGCGGGAGTCGCAGCGCGTGTACAAGCTGTTGTTGGAGGCCGATGCGCATTTCCCGGAACCGAACTGGCCGCTCAAGTCGTTTGTGCCGAAGGAGCTGCGCGAGAACTGCGAGCAGGCGCTGCTGCAGCTGCATGGTCGTGTCCAGCAGGCCAAAGCGTCCTTCCCGGCGCAGTTCTTCTCGGTCATGCTTGGCTGTGCCGCGACGGCGGAGGTCAGTCCGCGCTACCTGTCCGGCACCGCACGTGCGCAAGCGATCCAGCTGGGCATGACGCTCGCCGGCAGCCCGGATGAACTGCTCCGCAAGGCAGCCTGCGAGTGCATGGTCGCCATCTTCAGCAACACCACGAGCATGCGGCCGAACGAGCTCGTGGTGGAGAACCGGCGACTCTGCGAGGAGTGCTTCCGGGCCCTGAACGCAAGTCAGCACAACGAAGGGCACATCGTGTCTGCACTGAAGGCACTCCACGCCCTGTTCAGCCGCCGCGGCCTCAGCTCGATCGACAAGCAGGTCCTGCCGCAGCTGTGCGTGCTCGTGACGGAGCAGCAGCGCATGTCCAAGTCGGCCCTCGTCCGCGGCTCGGTCTGCGATCTGATCCCTATCATCGCACCAGTCGACATCGCCGCCGCACCCCGTCGGACGACCTACTGCGCCATCATCATGGAGCCAGTCAAGAACGTGCGAGATGAACGCTTCAAGGCGCACGAGCTACAGAACGTCGCGTCGTTTGTGCTGAGCGTAGGATACCGCGTCTTTGACCCGACCAACCGCACGAACCTGGAATCCATCCTGCACCGGTACATCTCCCGGCCCGAGACGCAGGAGGCGTGCTGGTCGATCATGGCGGCCATCTGCGCCTCCTCCGTGTCCACCGCCGGCGCCGGCGGCGCCGTTGCAGCTGTCAGTCCTATCACGCTCAGCCGCCGGTCGATTCACCGCTCCGCCGCGATGTCGCCGTCCTCCGGCCGAATGAAGACGTCCGACTCGGTGAACATGGCCGGTGCCATCGTCAGCCCCACCACCGTCGGTGCCTCAGGCGACCTGTCGCTTTCCCTGTCCAACGCGGAGGCCGACGCGGTGTCCCGTCACCGCAGCAAGGACAACACCACCGGCAGCTCGCCCAGGATGCAGCAGCAGCACGGCTTTCCAAACGGAAGTGAGACGAATTCGGCCCGGGTAGCCACGACGCGGCACGGGGGGTCGCCCAGCGGCGGCAAGCACAACGACGTCAACGAGGACCAGGGTGGTAACGGTGGCAACGGCGATGACCACAGCAGTGTGGCGGTGGTCTCGACAACCACGGCCGTGCAGTCTCCCGACAGGAGCTCCTGCCTGACCACCCCGGCGACTCCGTCCGCGCCGGTCTTCAACTTCGGCACCACCAGCGCCCACCTCAGCCTTACCATCGACGACATTGTCCAGCGCTGTCTGCCCTACCTCACCCACGCCGTCCTCACCCAGCCCCTCGTCGACTCCCTCCGCGTCATCCAAACCTCCCGCCCACCCCTCAAAGCCGAGGTACAGGCCGCTCTTGATAAGCTGGTGGACAGCGCGCTAATGGAACCGGCGGGCTACGCCCTGACCACCATCGCCGGCGTCCAGCCCTCCGGCAGCTCGCAGAGTTACTCGATGCACGGCCGCGACGGCGACGGCGCCAACGCCGCCCTTAACAGTGGCAACTCCGCCCCGCTGGGTGCGGCCCCGTCCTCGCGCGGGCCGCAGCACCCGCTGGCCGGCTCAGAGCCCAGCACCGTCGCCGCACGACCGGGCTCCAACGGCAACTCTATCGGCACCATGGGTCGTCTGTCGCAGTACTTCCGGCCGGCCGACAACGCCGCCGGGACGCACCGTCGCGAGGACAGCTCCCCCGACCTGGGGCCCTCGACCCCGCTGACGGGCGGCGCAAGCGGCAGCAGAGCCGGCGCCTCTCCTTCGCACGGTCCCACTGCTGCTGCCGCTGCTGGTGGCGGCCCTGGCGGCTTCCTCAGCGTGAACAGCTCTTTCGCGGCTGCGGGCAGCGAGCACATGCACGAGCACTACGGCAGCACCGCTGGCGTGCGCTATTCTCCGATGCCGTCCTCGATCAGCGCCGCCTTTAGCCCGGTTGGGAGTGCACCCCCCTCCCAATCTGCCAACATCACACCTGCGGCGGTACTCGCAGTGCTCAAGAACGACCTCACCGTCGCCTTGAAGGTCTTCTCGGAGCGTCCCGTCACCTCGGTGCAGCACCTCGACGACCTGAAGAGCTACGTGATCGGCTTCCAACACCACGACGACCCGCAGGTGCGCAAGCAGAGCAGCGAAACGATCATTTCGAGTCTCCGGCAGTGGATCGCCTACGCGAAGGAGCACAAGACCTCCACCTACTCCACCCGTGTGACGGAGATTCTGGAGGCGTACATGAAGAACGTGCTGCTGGAGGTGGACCGGCGGTGTCGGCTGTACGAGATCACCCTCCTCGCCAACGCCACCAGTCTGCGTGTCTTTTTGTCCGAGCAGCGCATTCTGTCGTCGCTGCTGAGCTTCCTGAATAGCACCGCACAGGTACGCGAGAAGACGGTGGAGCTGCTGGTGGCCGTCACGCAGGACTCGAAGCCCTCCCCGTCTGTGGTGGCCGTGCAGCAAAGCCTCTACGTCACCGTGGAGTCTTGCGTCGTCATCTTGGAGTTCACCAACGACGTGAACATGCTCCTGCGCAGCATGGCCGACCTGCAAACCTTCACTCGCCTGTGCATCCGTCCGCTGAGCAACCACCTCGGCCGTATCTTTTACGCCTTCCGCAAGCGCATTCTGGAGTCGACAGTGCCGGACGTGGTGCTGCTGTCCCTCCTCAAAACAATGGCGACGATTTTAGAGGCCCTGTCGAAAGAGGAGAAGGTCGTCCTGCAGTACCAGGATGACGTGCTGGAGCTGTACATCCCAATTGTGGACATTCTGAAGCACTCGCCCTCCCCGGTGCTGAGCCACGCCGCCATTAACGTGCTCGTGCACATGAACGAGATGTGTCTGCCAAACTCCACCACCGATGTACGGCAGCAACAGGAGCTAATTGGCTCGCTGGTCAACGTCTACACCGGCAGCTCGTGCACCGTCGAGGAGTCGCTGAGCATGCTGACCCTATTTGGCCAGCTCGGTGCCGTCGATCCCGCCCTGCAGTCCAGCGCCGTGACCGTCAAGAAAAAGGAGGAGGTCGCCATCCAGGATGAGGCCGACCTGGAGCTCACGTACGACTACACTGTCATCGTCTACCGCACCCTCAGCCGCATGCTGGACGCCTCTCTGTCGGACGCTGTCTGCTCGCAGGCGCTGCGCACCCTCCTGCAGTTTATCCGATCAACCCAAGACAAGAAAGACATCGTCGGTGGCGTACACGCCGTCCGCGCAGTGCTGCAGGTCATCAAGCGAGTCACGGACAGCCCCGCCCTACGAGTGGAGGCGCTGCACGTGCTGGCCGCCATCACGGCGATGCGGCACGAACGCATTGCGCGGCTGATGCTTCCTGAGATTGTGGTGCTGCTCGAGCAGCTCTGGACCCCGACGGACCGGCCGCTGTTTCGCGGGGTGCTGGAGGTGGTGAGCGCGCTGAAGCCCGGCAAGCTCTCGGGCAAGGAGCAGTCCGAGTCCTGGGCGTGGCTGTACCCCCGGCTGGTCGATGTCGCCTTCCAGGATCACACCGAATCCCGTGAGTTCTGCCTGCGCGTGGTCGAGATTGTGCTGAACGCGAGCTACATCCCACCGCACTGCATCCCGATTGTGTTTCCGATGCTGATGCAATTTATCCAACAGTCGGACCAGCTCGTCGACGTCCGCAGCCAATCCCTCTGCGCCGCCGTGCACATCGTGTGCGAGCTGAAGGCGGTGCAGTTCTTCTCCTCCCTGCTGCACGGCATCCGCACCTTGACGCGCCACTGTGAGCTGAACGAGGACCTCGGCCCCCGCTTGTCGACGCCGGGGGTGCGGGAGTCGCTGAAGGTGTTGGCGGCCCTGCACCCGAGCGGGCGTGGCACCATCAAGCAGCTGCGCGACCGCATCGGCGAAGGAGAGGATCGCCTGAGCGCCGCAGCAGCAGCCGGCTCGCCGCTGTACACTTCGACGGGGATGCAGGCGGGCAGCATGGTCAGCTTCGTCGGGGCCAACCCGAACACGACGCTGCTGGGCCCGCTGTCCGCCCACGGCAGCAACGGCGTCAGTCCACTCGCCGTGACAAGTATGCCGAACTCCGGCGGGTCGCGCAGCCTCAGCGCGCTGGGCATTGGTTCGCCTACGGGAACGGGGGGCGGCGGTTCGTATCTGCGCCGCACCGTGCCCGAGACGTTCCCCGGCGCGGAGGAGGAAGACGTCTCGTTGAGCCTCGGCGCTGACCAGCCGAGCGGGGCCGCCACGGCCGGTCAGGAGGTTTCGCTCTTCATGAAGCACGTCGAGCTGGGCTTTCGCCTCAAGGAGAGCAAGCTGCGAGAGTGGTTCGTCGAGTTTCAAAAGAGCATCATACTTGTTTCCCCGCATCCCGCCTTCCGCATGATGGTGGATCTGCTCGACAAGCACGATCCCCTTCGCCGCGAGCTCTTTTTGCCCTCTTTCAAGTGTCTTTACGAGTCCCTGACGGCGGACCAAATCAAGAAACTGAACGAGATGCTTACCATCGTGCTGAACTGCTCCGACCACGAGCTGTCGAGCAAGTGCCTCGGCCTCGCGGACTACCTCGACCACAACGAACCGAACCTGAAGCCGGAGGTGCTGGAGGTGGTGCGCTCGCTGCGGCGCGCCGATCACCACCGCATCAATCACTCATCGGAGCCGGACTCGCTGCTCGTCCGCAGCACCGCCAGCAGCAACAACAACGTCCTCACCGTGCGCGGTCGGGGATCGGCATCGAACGTGAACCAGCAGCCCCAACTCTACCCCGCGACTGCAGAAGCCCCGATGAACCACGTCTTCTCCGCAAAGATCCGCGGTCGACCGGCAGCTGCTGCCGCCCAGCGCGGCGCCATGCGTGGAAACTCTCCGAGTATTCAGCCAACGGTGGCCAACCCAGCGAGTCAGAGCACGAATAAAGGGCGTGGCGTCGCCGGCGGCAACCAGAACGGCGACCCGAACCGGAGTAACCCGGACGTCTACGCCTTCGGCAACAACGGCGCCGGCAACACACAGGCGCAGACGGTCGAGCGGCAGATAGCGCCATCGGTTGCAGCCGGTGGTGATGGTGGCGAGGATGAAGGAATGGCGGTAGATGAAGAGAGTGCGTCTGGCAGCTGCTCCCCTGTGGACACCCTGGACGACGCGAGCAGTGAGAAGAAGATCGACGAGGGCACGCCCGCCAACCCTGATCTACCGCAGGTCGACATATCTGGTGTGCCCGGCTTGCAGGCCGCCGGCAGCTACCGACCGCTGGTGTGCTCTGTCGCGCGCAAGGCCGTGTCGAACCAGGCCTACACGCTAAGCCACGGCAGCGGCAGTAGCAGTGACGAGTTCAGCGCGGATAGCCACGACCCGGACGTGCAGCTGACAGGGTCGCACATCCCCGCCCAGCCCAACATGCTCTTCTCCACGGAGGACATCGTCCGCGCTGCGGAGCACACCCGCATGTACGACAAGGCGCTGAGTTACCTCGAGAACCGCCTGCTCGCTATGCTGAACATCTACCGCTACACCAAGATGCCGCGCGATGTGATTCACAAGACGGTGTGGCCCTTGGCATGGCTCTACAGCCAGCGCGAGATGCAAGACTCCGTCGTCGGTCTCTTCCGCGCCATCCGCTACGAGGGCGGGGAGGACCAGGCCGGCTTCGGCTTTGAGCTGCTGCGCTGGTGGAGCCAGGCGCAGCGGACCTACGCGAAGTCCATCACGACGCAGGCGCTGCGCGACATGACGGTGCCGCCGCACATCCTGGAAGGCTACGTGCGCACCCTCACCCTCTGCGGGGAGTGGAACCGGGCTTACGACATCTCAATGCAGGTCAGCTCCCGCCGCGAGGCGTACGTCTCCTCGACCGTGGCACGCTGCGGCGCCACCGCGGCGTGGCTGCTCGGACACTGGGAGGACGTGCAGTTCCTGGCGGAGCGGCTCTCCGTGTCGGAGCGCCACACAACGGCACTGCGCCTCTTCTTCTTGAACGGCGTCGCGTTGCGGAACGCGATTGCGGAGCACAGCAGCGGCGCCTACGAGAGCCTGCGCCACATGATCACACAGTCGAAGCTCGTCATTGATGAAAGCCTGCGCACGCTGCTCCCCCTCAGCTACACGCACGCCTACGAGAGCGTGACGATGCTGCAGCACTTTACTGAGATGGAGGAGATGATTGACTTCTGCCACTGCCGGTCCGCGAAAGGGCGCCAGCAGATGTATGAGCGGTGGAACAACCGCTTCCGCTATTTGAAGCCCGACGCCCTGCAGCCGAGCCTGCGGTCACTAATGCTGCACTCCCTCGTCCTCTCCACCAGCGAGATGGCAGACATGATCCTGCACTTCTGCAAAACGCGCCAGGCGAGCTACCCGGAGTTGACGGAATGGGCCATGAGCTGGCTGCGTCACGGCTCCTTCAGCGGCTGCGGCAGCCGCGTCTCCACGCCGAGCGTGTCGTCGCCGACCTCGGTCGACCACGCCGGGCTGACCATCGACGTCAACTCAGCGGCGTCGCTCGCGACGGTCGACAGCAACCCGAACGTCGCCGTGGGTTTCATCATCCACCTGTGGAGCCGCGGCAAGCGGCAGGAGGCGGTGGAGGCGATGGAGCTCTTCCTGCGTGAGTGCGGCAAAGACCTGGAGGAGAACTACGCTTCGTGCTACGGCAGCGCGCAGCTCCGCCTCGGGACATGGAAGCAAGATCAGCACACGGACTCCTTCTGGCGCCCCGGCTTCCGAGAGGAGGAGCTCGAGCACTTCCACAAGGCCATCCGCGCGATGCCGTCGAGCTACGAGGCGTGGCACAGCTGGGGTTTGATGAACTACCGCATTCAGCAACGTGACCACAACCTCTCCCCGGAGGACCAGCGCACCTTCGTGGAGGCCGCCCATCAGGGCTTCGTCGGGGCCATCTGCCGCTGCAAAGACTCCTCGGAGGCCCTCCCGGCCGTCATGCGTCTGCTGCAGCTGTGGGTAATTCACAACGGTGTGGGACTGCTAAAGGAGACGGTTGCGGACAGCATCTCCCGCATCCCGATTGACCACTGGGTGCAGGCCATTCCACAGCTCATTGGTCACCTCGGCAACGACGACCACGACATTCGCGAGGTGATTTGCATGATCCTGCGCTCGCTCTGCGAAGTGCACCCCCAGGCGACGGTGTTCCCGCTGCTGGTCGTCATGATGTCCGACTCGAATGGCTCCGGCAGCCCCTTGACGGCGAACGACTCCAATCTCTCGTCCTTTGCGAACTCGTCGGAGGCAGCGCCGGTTAACGTGCGCGGCAGCCCCCGGGTGGAGAGCCCGACGACGATGAACAGCAAGAGCCCGATGACACGCAAGCAGGAGATTGTGCAGAGCATCATCCAGCACTGCCCGAAGCGCATCTTCCATGAGGCGGAGGCGGTCGCGAAACTACTGGTGGACGTGTCCGCGATTCCCATCGAGAAAATCCGTGAAAACCTTAGCCAAGTCGCCGCCGCCTGGAACCCGAACGCGGAGTACGAGGAAGACCCGGAGGAGATCTACCGCCGCCTGCAGAACACCATGGAGATCTTCCACGCCAATCGCCGCCACCTGCTCTTCACCGTGGGCGACATCGGCCAGTTTGTGCAGATGGTCATGGTAGACGAGCGCAGCGGACAGCGGGAGAAGGCTGCCGGGGTGGTGAGTCAGCTTGTCGAGGAAATTTCGAAGCACGTCGCCGAGAAGCTCGGCCGCGAGCCGCAGAAGGCAATGGAGCCGCTGCTGCACCTGCGCAACCTTTCCGTCGCCGTCTTTGGCGAGTACGACATCCACAACCGGGACAACTACCCGACCATCGCCTCCTTTAGCTCCAAGCTGGATGTGATTCCCTCCAAGAAGCGCCCCCGCCGCATCCAGCTGAACGGCTCCGATGGCTGCCTCTACACGTACTGTCTGAAGGGCAACGAGGACATCCGCATGGACGAGCGGGTCATGCAACTCTTCGGCATGGTGAACGTGCTGCTGAGCCACACCCGCATCCCAACCAGTGCGTACATCCACCGCTTCCCGGTCATCCCGATCAGCTCCAACGTCGGCCTGCTTGGTTGGGTGGAGAACGCGAACACGATCAATAACACCATCTGCAACTACCGCACCAACATCTCGAACGTGCGCACGCATCAGGAATCGAGCGCGCTGCGCTCCTACGTGGAGTCGTTTGGCAACTGGGACAAGCTCAGCATCATCCAGCGCACGGAGGTGCTGGACTTCGTGATGAACAGCGAGCACTGCGAGGCCGTGGATGTGTCGCGTGCGATGTGGCACCGCGCCAACACGGCGGAGCAGTGGCTGGACCGGCGCACGGCCTTCACGGTGTCCTTGGCGACGATGTCCATGGTGGGCTACATCATGGGTCTGGGCGACCGCCACCTTGGCAACATTCTCATCTCGATGTCGACGGGCAAGGTGGCGCACATCGACTTTGGGGACAGCTTTGACGTGGGCCGGCTGCGGCACGTGCTGCCCGAGACGGTTCCTTTCCGCCTCACGCGGATGCTCACGAATGCGATGGAGGTGTTTGGGGTGGACGGCGTCTTCCGCGCCTTCGCGACGCGGACGCAGACCACGCTGCACAAGAATCGTGATAGCATCATGGCCCTCCTCTCCGCCTTCGTCTACGACCCGATCGTGCAGTACAAGGGGAAGATGAAAAACGTGATGGAGAAGAGTCGGTCGCCGCAGGACGTGGTGGAGCGGATCCGCAACAAACTGCGCGGGATGGAGATGGCGGTGAACCGCAGCGAGGTGAACATCTTCAACACCACGCAGGACAGCTGCCGCAGGCCGGATTTGCTGTACATGTCGACCGCGTTTGATGATCCGGCGATACGAAAGCAGACCTTGGCGATGTCGGCGGAGGAGCAGGTGAGCTTCTTAATTGACGAGGCAACTCGTATAGACAACTACACAACGTTGTACTTTGGCTGGGGCCCGCTGTGGTAATTTTATTGGATGTGTGCGTGTGTGTGTGTGAAGCCGTTTAACATTGCTCTCTGACCAGAGCGTAACGAACCTTCGGTGTAAGTGTGTTTGGGGTTGCTCCTGGTGTATTACGGTGCATATTATTGTTTCTCTTTAGGATGATTATTATTATTTTATTTTCTATTTCGTTGAGTTGGATTTCTCGTCTTGAACCGTTGTTCATTATTACTACTACTATTATTGGAGTGGGAGGAGCGTTGGCTCTTCCCTTTTGCACACCTACAGAAGATTTACGTTGATTCATCTGCTTGGTAATTCCTGTCGCCGTAATGCTTTTTTTTCCCCTTTGTATTGTTGTTGTCGTCTTCATCGTCTTTATTTTTCTTCTTCTTCTTTTTCCTCGCGGGCGTACATCTCTGCGCTCCAAACTGAGCTGCACATTGAAAACGATAATATTTTTTTAAGCAGTCTCTTATTTACTTGCTTTCACCTTTTGCAATTGCCGCCATCGTCTCTTCGCTTTCTGGTTTTGAACTTTTTCAATTTAAAGTCCAGGTCTGTCTCTTTAGCGTAATATTGTTGTTGTTTTTTTCCCTCCTGTTGTGTTCGTTCTAACTGCGACGACGGAACGTAGCTAACTTAACGGATAAGCTTCTGTCTTACTTTCCTTTTTCTGAGCGCGCAGCCTTTCTTCGTTCTCTTGTTTTTGTTTAATACCTCCCCCCCCCCCTGGTACAGGTAACCCAACAAAAGACGTCCTAACTTTACTTTTAATAAAACTTGATAAATGTGGAAACGCAGGAAGCTCCGCGCAGAGATGGTGGTTTTCATGTGGGCGTGCGTACAACATCCCAAACTGGTGATTCTTTCCAACAAACAAAAAAGAATTGGGTTTGGGGCGACGAGGCCCGTGTGCATACGCGTGTATGTGTGATCAGGAAAAAAAGAAGGCTGCTGTTTCGCTGATCAAAGCGTCACAGTCATATCGTGTTTGATGATGTTGTTGTTGCTGTTGATTGCTTTGTTTCCTCAAACGTCAAGTCCAATCATTTCGTTGTGTTTTCTCCATGAATAAACACCTCTCACGCCCCCACAAAAGAGAACAAAGAACGCGATAGTTCACTTGCCTTTCCACAGCGTCGGCGGCACAGTGGTGTTGTCCTTCATTTGCTTCCTTGGCGCCGTCTTCTTCATTTCATTTTTCCGGTTTTTCTTTTGTAAAAAACTTTTAAAAAACGTTTACTTTGCCGTCTTTTTTTTCCTTGCTGTTATATCTTGTGTTTCACGCAGTTTTCGCCAGCATCACTGCTTGTTTGTTTGTTCGGTGTTGTTGTTGTTGTTTTGCTCTCTCTTCTATTTCTTTTCTTTTCTTTCTTTCATTTCTCTTTATTCTGTACATAAATCTTGGCGATTCGTCGGCGTGTCTGTGCCCGATAGTGAGAGGAACTCGACCTGGTATTTGCTCTTCGGTACCTCAGTGGTGCTTTGACATCGAAAAAGGCACGCATATAACAGCAGTGGTTATTATTATTATTATTATTATTATTATTATTATTATTATTGGTAAGCGTGTGTCTGTGTGTGTGTGTGTACGAACGTCAAACTGTGTCTTAACAGGAAGACACGACACGTTCACACAGGTGTTGTGAACCCGAAGAGCCTGGAAGTGGTGTTGGACAGCGTGCGTGCGAAGCATTCGGCGTAAGTCTGTTGACTTCTGTTCTTCATGCATGTAAGGTCATCTTTCAGTTGACACTCCTGTCCGTTGTGAACCGTGGTGAACCTCACGGTGCTGCGTACGATGCGCATCACGGCGGCGGCCACACACGGCGCTCTCCACATGGCTCATCGAGCTGTGCTCTCTGCTGATGTCAACGCCCCTCCCTCATCCGCATTTCCTTTTCTCCCATCTTCCACGTTCGCATCAGCGGCACAGCTCTTGTTGTGTGTTTGTTTGTTCTACAAGCAAAAACAATTTTTTAAAAGTAACATCAAGCAGGCAATGCAGATGCTCTCCCTCACCCTCCCCTCCCTCCAGTCCGGAGAGAAGGCGCTCGAGTTTCAGGTTGATGACCCGCCGCAGCTCCAGCCCTGGATCGCGACGTACCGCCTCATCCCACAAGGCGAAGCCTTCTGCCGCACGGTAGCACTGACCACGCAACTGCGCCACGAGGACATGCGCACGCAGCAGGCCCACGCCGATCCAAATGTGGCGAGGCAGTGGGCGGCGGAGGAAGCGGACGGTGGTGCGGCAGGCGCGGACAACATCAACGGCAGCGGCGGCGATGACGGCGACGACGGTGCTGGCGAGGGAGGACGCTTCCAGCCCTCCTCCCGCAAGAAGAAGTTCGTGAAGCTGACGGATGAGGATCTGCTGGTGGACTGGTACGATGTGCTGAAGCTGGAGCAGCAGGACGGTGCCACGGAGGAGCAGATCAAAGCCGCCTACCGCCGCCGCTGCCTCGAGACGCATCCGGATAAGCAGCAAAACCACTCCGACGAGCTCTTCAAACAAGTTCAGCGCGCCTTCGACATCCTCGGCGACCCGGACACCCGGCAGACCTACGACTCCTCCCGGCCGTTCGATGACGCGATCCCCGCCGAAGTGGTGGAGGAGAAAGTCTTCTACAGCTCCTTCGGACCGGTGTTTGAGCGTAACAAGAAGTGGAGCAGCGTGCCGGGCGTGCCGTCGCTCGGTAACGATAAGACCCCCTACGCCGAGGTACTCCGCTTCTACGATCGCTGGACGGGCTTCCAGAGTTGGCGCGACTTCTCCCACCTCGCCGACATCGAGGAGATCGACGAGGGGATGTGCCGGGAGGAGAAGCGCTACTACCAACGGGAGAACCAGCGTCAGCTGAGTCACTTTCACAAGGAGGAGCAGAAGCGCATTCGCACGCTCGTCGATCGGGCGCGCCGCAACGACCCGCGCCTGCGCCGCCACCGCGAGGAAGAGGAGGGGAAGCGGCAGAAGGAGGTGCAGGAGAGGGAGGCGTTCCGCCAGCAGCTCGCCGCCGAGGAGGAGCGCCGCCGTGCCGAGGAGACCCGCAAGCAGAAGGAGAAGGAAGAGGCCGAGGCGCGGGCGCAGCAGCAGGAGAAGCAGGCGATGCGCGAGGCCCAAACGGCCGTATTGGGTTTCCTCGGAGAGCACGGACTGCTGGAGGAGATCGCAACAAACAAGCTCTTCGCCGACCGCGTGCGTCGCCCGAACGTGCAGTGGATCTTTTCCAAGGTCACCTCCGCCGCCGCTGCGCAGAAGCTGCGGGATGCCATCCTCGCCGCCAGCCCCACCCGCGTCCCGCGCACCGATGACGACCCGCGCACGAAGGAGTTCGAGGGCGCGGCGCAGGTGGAGGCGGTGCTGCGCTTCAACGCCCTCATCGCCAAGATGGAGCAGCACTGCGGTGTGAACCGCTACGGCGAGGCCGTCAAGAAGGCGAAGGAGGGTGGCGACGCCGCTGCAAAGAAGAAACAGGCGGCGGCGCCGGCCTCACCCGTGGCAGCAGGACCGGAGTGGACGGACGAGGACCTCGGTCGCCTGCAGAAGGCCACCGCGAAGTACCCGCCCGGCTCGGTGGACCGCTGGATCAAAATCTGCGACGTGCTGCGGCACAAGTTCACGGAGGAGCAGGCGATGGCGAAGGTGAGCGAGCTGACGGCAGCGCTGCACCACGCCGGCTCTGGAAATCCGACCGCGTCGGCAGCAGCGGCCTCCGTCTCGCACGCGTCTGCAGCTGGCTCTGGCACCCCGGCATCCGTGGCGGGTACCACGGCGGCGGCGGCGGTGGAGGAGTGGTCGATGACGCAGCAGAAGCAGCTCGAGCAAGGCCTCCGCGATCTCAAAGACTACAAGGAGAAGGACAAGTACCAAAAGATCGCGAAGATGGTGGAGGGCAAGACGGCGAAGGAGTGCTTTGACCGCTTCAAGTTTCTCTGCTCCGTCAACAAAAAGAAGTAAACTGGATGCCACATTGTTCCTCTTGTCCTCCTCCCTTTTAAAAATAAACAGTGTCACAAGTAACGTCGTAATTACTGTATTAAATCGCAAAAACTAACCCGTTTTGGTTGGCTCATCGTATCTTCGGAACACGACAGGCAGAGCATTAAAAAGCTGATCCCCCTCTTAAAAGCACCTTCACAAGGAGAACATCATTGTTTCTTTTTCGTGTTTAAACACAGTTGGTGCTTTGCCACCCTCCGGGAATTTTTACGTGCAACGCGTCGTCTTGGCCTGCCCCCCCCCCCCCCCGTCCTCCTTGCGGAACAGGAGCCATCGGCGCGTTTAAGCGGGAATTCATCTCGCTTCTCACCCGCCTGTTTTGAAGATCAGTTTACGCGCTGAATGTCGATCATGGTTCCTCTTCTTCTTTACTTGTGTGTGTGTGCTCCTGATTAGCGCTGATTACACATCTTTTGTTTTTCTAGGGGCTTTTCGTACGACGTAGGGGAGCAGCCTTACCTTTCAAGTCATTTCATCTCGCCATGACCTTCACTCCACAGTCACCCAGCATCAACTTCGCCTCTCCCAGCAGTGCGGCGGGGAGCGCCTTCCTGGACCGCGGCGACCCGAACGCGATGATGCTGCAGATGGGTCTGAGCTACGGTCAGAACATCCTGCAGCATCACCTGCAGCAGGGCGAGGCGGGACTGGCATCGTACATGCCCTTCATCCGCGCCATTCGCAACTACTTCGCCGTGGACAACACCTACGTGAAGCGCAAGCTGGTGATCTTGACGGTGCCGTTTCTGACCAAGTTTGCGCGGAAGCCGGCAGCCGGCGGCGAAGGCGAGTTTGGCGGCGGCGGTGGCGGCACCAGCGGTGAAAACTCGGAGCAGATCTTTGGCGGTCCACCCGGGACGCCGTCATCCATGTACCCCGCTGGGTCTCCCGCGACTCGGTTTGGTCCCTCGCAGGTGTCTGACAGCAGCAGCAGCCCGCAGGTCCCAACCCTCCCGATCAACGACGTGTTCGCCTTCGATCTGTACATCCCCCTCATGAGTGTGATCACCTACATCGTCCTCGCTGCCTTCATCGACGGGGCGAACTCTCTGCAGCGCGAGATCACGGCGGAGTCACTCATGTCCACGGCGTGGGTGATCGGCATTTGGTTCTTCTTGGAGTTTCTAGTTATCAAAGGCCTCGCGTACGCCTTCCGCGTTGTGCCAAACTCGCCGCTCTGCGAGATTGCCTCGTTGTGCGGATACAAGTACGTTCTCCTCTGCATCGGCGTTCTCGTCGCCCAGGCGCTCCCCCCGGGCCGCCTCTACAGCGGTCTGGTGGTACTGTACGGCCTGCTAGCGCACGGCTTCTTTACGCTGCGCGTGGTGAGTCTGCGCCACGTGCGCGATGACGGACGAGTGCCGCCGCGAGCACGCGTGTACGCGTACGCCTGCGCAGCAGCGCAGATACCTGCGTTTCTCTGGATGTTCGTGCGACCGCTGTACACCAATTAGGCAAGTGTTTTGTTTTCTTATCTTTTTTTGGAGGCGTCCTGCCCTCAACGGCCTTCTTCGTTCCTCCCTCTCTCTCTCTCATACGTAAGGCGCGTGGATCAGGTCGAGGTGAGGAAGAAAAGGAGAAAAAAAGGGAGAAGGAAGCAGACGGTGTACGCTCCGATGAGGGCGTGGGTGGGTCTATTTGATGAGTAGTAAGTATGTGGGCTTTCCTTTTCCACTGTAGATATCTGCACCATTTATTTTTTTTAACAAATATGATGCGTCGGTTTGCTGTGTTGATGTCGCCGTGCGTTGGTGTTTTTTCGCTCTTCTTTGAAGTTTTTAGTGTTGCGGAAGCACCGAAGAGAAACTGAAACCGCGCAATCGCTTGCTGGCGTGTGGGGCGTCGGTTAACGGCACTCGCACGTTGATTGACTCCGCTCCAATGCTTGAAGAAGTTATCGCAGCTCGAATCGGAGGTTTCACTCGCCGAGAAAGGGGAGGGGAGTTTGTGTGTTTTGTTTCTCTCGATTTCACTTCTTCTTCTTTGATGCTACCGCCATGAACTTGGGTCTCTCCACAACTTCATTCCTCTTTTTCCTTTGACCTTTTGTTGCTATAAGTATTATTGTGGAAGGAGCGACGCGTTGACAGGGACACAGTTGAAAAAGGGGGGGGTAAAACAACTTGGAAACGCAACTCCTGCCCCGCAAACATGTCGTGGAACTTAAAGGGCCGTGCCGCCATCGCGGCCTTCGATCCGCCCACGCGCTACCGCATTCTCAACTCCCACACCATGACGCGCTGCACAAACAAACCGCTTCTGTGGGTGCTGGAGGAACTGTGCAACTTGCGCTCTTTGGGCGGTTTGGCCGGCCCACTGCACGCCGCGGACCACTTTATCTGCCTCGTGGCCCGTCTCCTGCAGATTTGTCCTGCCCCTGCCATCGTGCGCGTGATGCTAGAGCAGGAGGTGCACAAGTACATGCGCGCCGCCGCTCTCGTGCTTATTCGTCTGATTGGAAGTGCGAGCTTTCAGAAGGAGGCCCTGCGGATTGGCTGGGACGACTACCGGAAGCTGTGCCTGTACGGTAGCGACCCCGCGCAGGAGTGGGCGGAGTCCACCACTACCGCTGATGCCGATACGGCCACGGGCCACGCCAACACGCTGTCATCGTCACTGCTGCCGCTTCAGCAGAAGCGCCCTCGCACAGAGGCGGAAGGCGGCGCGGAGAACCGCGACAGCGCGCCGCAACCGCCGCGTTACTGGCTGGTGCGGCTCGACGAGTTCACGGACTACCTCTTTGGCACGGCTCCGCTGCCCGACGGGCTGGGTGCCGAGCCGGTCGCCGCCGAGTCCGGTGCGGGCCGTTCACGAACGCTGCCTGCGCACGTCTTTATGGGCATCCAGCTGCCGGCTCTGCTCTTGTAGCGGCTCTTGTGCGCGTGACCATTGCTGATGCAGGTGTGTTGTCGCCCAAAAAAGGACAGAAAAGAGAAGTGAAACGAACTATGGTGACAAGCTTTTTTTTGTCAGCGACGCGAAGTTGCTTCCGCAACGTCCCTGAAGCTCTCATAGCTCAGTCGGTTAGAGCGTGGGTCTAATAAGCCCAAGGTCACAGGTTCGACCCCTGTTGGGAGCACTTTTTCCCCCACCAGAGCCGGCCCCCAACACCGCCACCGTCAGGAAGAGCACGCAGCACCCACCGATCACGACCTCGCCCACCTCTCTACCTCCTTTTCTTTCCCTTCTCGTTTGTTGTTGTGTGCGTACCCGCTCAAGACGACATCTTTTTTTCTTTTGTAGTTAAGGTTTGTTTACCTCTTTATCAATAAATAGGCTGCTCGCATCCAGTAAAACCATGCAGCACCTCGACCTGGAGCAACAGCTGCGTCTTCGGCAGACGCAGCAGACCACCTCACTCAGCACCAGCGCTGTGCCGCCACTATCCTATCTCCACAGCACATACCACGCAGCTGCCAAGGACGTCATCGTCTTTTTCGCGGGTCTTCCTGTCGTCACTGCGGTGTTGTTCGTCGCCGTGGCTCTCCTCGCCCGCTCTAAGTCCTTTGCCAACCTTGCCAAGCTGATGAAAGAAAATCATCACCGCACCAACGCGGGCCTCATCGTGGCCAACACCACGCCCACGACGTTCTCGCTCTGCATGGCCGCATGGATGATCCTCCTCGCGTTGCAGACCGTCTGCAATGTACTGCGCGGAGTCGCCCAACAGCACTACCGCAGCGTGCAACACACCAACGCGTCTGCCCTGGCGGATCTCTCCGTGCTGCACACCCTGCCGATGGAGGAAGTGAGTCCTCAACCCATCTGGGGGCTCTCGGCGAACATGACCGCGCTATACCCGTCGCTCCTGCGGTGGTCCATGACGCCGACCGCGTTCGTTTTCGCGGCGCAGTACGCGGGAATGGTCTGCATGTGGTGCTACGTCTTCTTTGCCGGCCACCCGCTCGAGGCTGGCGTGTTTGGCGCCTTGGTTGCCTTCTTCCCCAATTTCTATGAGGCGCTGCTGCTCAACGGGAACGAGCCCGATCGCTGGCCGGTTTGGGTGACCCTCGTCAGTTTTCTTCTCAGCCTCGCGTGTTTGTGGGCGTTTGGCGCGCCGGTCGTCCGACGCGAGTACCGCGAGTTGAAGCGTGAGATGCAGGGCCACACGGCGGAGGCGTTGTATAAGGACCGCCCCGAGCTGCGCGAACTCCGGGCACGCGCTGGCCATCTCCCGAAGAAGCCGAAGCAGAAGTAGCGTACAAAGAAAGAGAGGGAAGACCAGTGCGTTTGCGGTGTCTCGCTTTTTAGTAGTGCGCGACCGCTGCCCCGTCCGCACGATGGATAATGGCGATCAAAGTAAAATAATAGGTCTTTAAGTTTGTGGTCCGCAGGAATTGTACGAGAAGGGAGGATTTCTGGCACACGAGTGCGTCGCGTACGTGACAATTCCTCTTCTTTTTCGGGAGAAGTGAAGTGTCCCGAAGCAACGAAATGCGTTCTCCTTCTTCTTTCTGAGTGTTCAGCCACACTCCCTCGCTGCTCTCGAGGCCGTTTTACACACCCCACAGCGTCTTCTCCTCCCTCTCCTAAACTGCTACTGAGCACACAACTCTTTCGCTTCTCTCCTCTTGTATCTCACGACCAACCGCAAAAAAAACTCTGGAATATATATTCGTCGACGTACATCGTCGCGCTCCAGTCAAGTGAATTTTTCCGCCTCAGGAGACCTCTTCTCTCTTCTCTCATTTGTTATCTTTTTTTAAATAAATCTGTACTTCTGTATATAAACATCTTCCTATCGTGTCTCCCCCCACTCGACAAACACTTGTATCATTCACCGCCCATTACACAAAAAGTCCATCAAAAAGTAAAAACACATCTGTTAAGCTCCAAGTTCGAATTCAATACACAACAAGCACGACGTGCGTTATACGCGTGTGCCGATCCTCCTACACCAACATACATACGCTTACACGTACCTTATACCGCCCCCTCCCGGACTCCATTACTTAACTATTTCTTCTACCCCTCACCTTGCCCTGCCCTTGCTCTATCGACTGCTTCACTTTTCTCCTTCGTCAATGTCCACCGCCACCATCAACCCCGCTCCGCTGCAGACCGCACCGTGGACCTCCCCCACGCAGGCACCACACCTCGCCTCCCATCAGTCACCCCCGGCCGTTCCACCGTCCCCGGCCTTTCCCCTGCGTGATGAGGAAGGCGTCACGTACGTCGGCGATGCCGCCGGGACTGTGCATTATCACTTTTACTTCCCCAAAGCAAGCTTTGTCTCCGTCGTGCCATCGAGCACCACAACGCTGGAGGGCGACGTCGACGAAGCCCGCACCACCGTCCACCCCGCCGTAGCCCTGAAGAAACAAATGGGAGGCGCTTGGTGGGGAGAGGCGGCCTATTCTGTTGGTCTGCACAAGGTGTTTCTTCTCGTCGACGGTCGCGCCGTGCTCACCCCGCACCTCCCTGTCACCTGCGAGCGCAACGAGGAGCTCGTCAATTACATCGATGTCCCGCCGCCTGACGAGTCGAACAACTACTACTTGATGCGACCGCGCACGGAGCACGGCAGCGTGGCACAGGAGTACATCACCTCTTACACCACAGACACGGTGGAGGAGGTGCTCGTCTACCTGCCGCCCTCCTACCACAAACCCAGCAGTGCGACGCGGCGGTATCCGGTGCTATACCTTCTCCACGACGACAGGAATCACGGCATGGGCAGTCTGCAGCATGGCAAGGTGAACATCATCGCCGACAACCTCATCGCGGACGGCAAGATGACGGACATGATCATCGTGATGAAGAACAACGCCAACGGGCTCTACGCTGACCCCTTAACCCACGACATCACGCAAATGTGTGACGACTTGACGGAGGACATCATCCCCTACATCGACAACCGCTACCGCACCCTCGCAGACCGCGATCACCGCGCCATCGCCGGCCTCTCCATGGGCTCCATGCACGCCAGCCGCCTCAGCATCACCCGCCCCGATCTGTTCGCGTACGCCGGCATCTTCTCCGGCTTCATGCGCACCCTCTGGAGCGACATCAGTACCAACGACGATCACATGGATGTGCTCCGCCGCGATCCCGCTGCCTACCAGAGCGCCATGAAGGTGCTCTTCCGTTGCATTGGCGACGAAGACGAGTTCATCTCCCGCTTCGAGGAAGACGACGCGATACTGGCGGAGCTGGGTGTGAAATGCACACGGCGCATCTACAAGGGACCGCACAGCTGGCACGTGTGGCGTCAAGCCGGGTCAGACTTCTTGACAATGATCTTCAAATAAAATGTATCGTTCCTTGCATCCTGTGTTTCGTGGTGCTGCCTCGTCTTTCCGACACCCCATTACCTGGACGGCTCACAGCTCAGATTTCGATTAAATCCGATCTTTCTTTTTCCTGTGGAAACATGCGTGTTGCGAACAACGAGCGTGATGTTGCATCAAAATCTTATTTTTGTCCCCATCAGTGTCTTACATTTTTTTTAGTTTTGGCAGAACAGGAAAGGAGGTAGAGTGCTGCTGATTTGCCTTGCTTGATGGCGCATTTGGGCCAGCACGGTCATCTCCAGCGACGCCTCCACTGTTGTACTGCACGGTTGCGTCGTGTAATGGCTGCTGGAAACGCACCTTTTTTTATGTTGTTTATATATGTATATATACCAGGAGTTCAGTGATGTTGGCGGGCTAGCTATCGAAGCAACAAGACACTACACCCCGCACCCTCATCTCCTCGGTTCTTCTCTCTTTCTTTCTCTCTTGAAAAGCGTCTGGAGCGTCCCGTCAACGAAAAGAAAGAAATACGACAAGGGATCCTCTTTTGTGTGGACCAACTACCCAACGTCTTCGTCGATCACCGAGAAGCCGGAAGCGTTGCTTTTGAATGCTGTGTGCGACTATTTCATAGGCACGTTGAAAGGGTAGAAATTCTTGCCGAACAAAAACCATCACGGGTTTCTTTCCTTCGGTTTGCGGCTGCATTGCTGTGTTCTCGTTGTTTCTCCTCGAACTCACCCCAACTCTCCGCACGTGTTTTCTGTGCTATCAATCCTCCCCTTTGCCTCGTTTTGCGCTGTCGGGCTGTAATCCATGAGCCAACGGCGCTCAAAACCTCAAAGTATCATACCCTTCTCTGCTCTCTTGTTGGTCACGGGCCGAAGAGCCATTCCAGTGACGTGCCACACAATGACCTCTAACCCCGCCCTTTCCTCGGAAGCGCTCGCGTTCCGCAGGGACACCTGTCTCATGGCGAAGCACATCACCGCTATCTGCGGCTTGCCGAGCAACCCGGTCAAGGAAGGTGTCACGTACGACGGCGACGCAGACGGCACTGTACACTATCAATTCTACTTCCCCAATGCCTCGACGGTGTCCGTCGTGACCTTCGACACAACTGTGTCGCTGGAAAAGAGCGCAGAGAAAGGTGTCTGGACCGGCACGGGACACTACCCACCGGGTCTGCAGTGCTTGAACCTCTTCGTTAATGGCCACGATGTCTGCTCTCCGTACCTCCCTTTCGCCTACAACTACAGCCGCCCCATCAACTACATTGACGTGCCGCCAGTAGACCTGGAGCATTGTTACTATTTGATGCGACCGCGCATCGAGTACGGCACCGTGGCACATGACCTCTTCTCCACCTCCGAGGACACCCAGGAGGCTCTCCTCATCTACCTGCCGCCGTCGTATCGCAAGACCGCCAACGCCACCCGCCGCTACCCGGTGCTTTACCTGCAGCACGGCCTTGGCGAGAACGAGAACGCGTGGGTGCAGCACGGCAAGCTGAACATCATCGCCGACAACCTCATTGCGGACGGCAAGATGACGGAGATGATCATCGTGATGGGAAATGGCATGATGTACACGCAGGACGGCGTGGTAGACCCATTCGGCTACGTGGACCGTCTCGTGAAAAACGTAATCCCGTACGTGGATGGCAACTACCGCACCCTCGCAGATCGCAATTACCGCGCCATGGCCGGTCTTTCTATGGGCTCTACCCAGGCGACCTATGCCACCATGCAGAACCCGCATCTCTTTTCTGCCGTTGGCATCTTTTGCGGCTTCTTGCAGCTGAACTGGAGCAACGAGGTCGCCAAGCGGGAGGAGTACTTCGCCGAGTTCAAGGCGAACCCGCAGGCCTATCGCGACGCCATGAAGGTCATCTTCCGTGCTATGGGCGACACCGACTCCTACATCCGTATCTTTGAGGACGATAACAAGATCCTTGACAGCCTTGGCTTCAAGGAGGATGTGCGCAAGATGTATGCGGGTGCGCACTCATGGCAAGTGTGGCGCATGTGTGCCACGGACTTCTTGCCTCTCCTTTTCAAGGGCTAGCGTGACGAGGAGTTATTTTTATTATGCTTATTGCATAGTCTGCGAGTGTCAGGTAACTCATACCCGCGCACGATGAAGCACTTTTCTTTTTCTTTTCTTCTTCCTTCCAGCAGCGGCCGAACGCAGTTCATTTGTTTTATTAAAGCCTGAACGAGGAATGATTGAATGTATGGATAGTGATGAGAAGTGAGTAGCGTCTGTGATCCTTTGTTTCAGCCGTTTTCCCTTTTCCCTCTTTCACAACGACAGTTTTCGGCTGTCGTAATTCTTCGTTCTCTCTTCTCCCGCGCGCCAAATGCCACCGTCCTGTTGTATGGGTCGCTCTACGCAATGAGTAAGAAGAGAGGAGTGAGGCAGGAGCGGAGAGAGTGAGTCAGCATCGTGCAGTGGGAGCGACATGTGGCGGCCGCAGAGACTTGGCGGCCGAAGGAGCAGACATTCGCGCGACTACAATCGCCGCCCGCGTAACATGCGTTCCGGCGGGCCCCGAA